ATATCCGGTTTAGTATCATTTTCTCGGTTTTCATTCTCCTACCCCATGTTGAAAAAAAGAAATAGCACAGTCTATTTTTACACATATAATTCCCAATACACATCCAATTTGGTTACGTAAAATATAGGATCTAAAACATGTCTGCCAGTAACATTGTGGGATGTAAAATAATGTATAAGAAGCTGGATTTAGACGGCGGTACTTATATATTTTTAGACACAGTTACAAAGTAATAAAGTTGTGACTTGTGACGTAATATTGTTTGAGCTGGTGTCGTGTCGTGACGACGGTAAAAGAAAACCCGAGACTTTATAAGTACTTGTGGAAATCTCAGATCTTTTCAGGTAACACTCGTCGTTAAAATATAGTCAATAGTTTCTTGGTAAACTTGTATTAGGTCACCCTTTGTTCTACTGTGTTTCATAGTGACTATTTGCTAAGCGTTGAAGAGTTTGCAGAAGTCTAAAGTTGACAGCATAAAATCACATTTTCCGAAGCGCTAGATAAGTGAACTTTTTTCTATCTAGCATTCGCTTCTTACTAGTTATGTATCCCATGTTATAGAGGGTGAGAGTATTACCATACATCGGACACATTTTTATGTGCCATACTAATTTAAACCCAAACATATGAAACCTACGATGATAGATGAGCAGTTTTCTACGTGAGTGTTAAAACTTAACACCTTTACTATGAAGTTATGAAAAGGTTACTTCATTGTAGCTGTAATAAGAACATAACTCTAACTATAAACAAAGGATACTGATATGTTTACTATGTCGCCTCAACTGCTGTTCGCAATGCAGCCAATAGAATGTGTTATTGTGTATCATTATATCGTATGCCTTTTTACTTCATTGATTAGTTGTAATTGCAATTAACTTGAAGTATGATATCTCGTTTAGTAAAAGTATATTAGACCATCAAAGCACGTAATCAGGACTTGCGGTTTCATAATGTGTCACTGCCTACCCTCCGCGAATAAAGTTCTGATGAAAGTTACCCTCTTAAATTAAAAAATAAATATCCTGAAGTTCCACATGTTAATAAAAATATTTCCACAGTAAAAATAACCACAGTAATTACAGTAACTGGACAAGAATCAGCATGGCAACAGAGTAAGAATGAAGCCTTACAATTCAAATGGTTGCCACCGTAATATTTACTACGAAATGTTCAAAGCTAAAATAACGGCAAAAACTTTGCTACGTCATTACGTCACGTTTCGTACTCGCATATCGCAGATCAAAATGAGTCTTAGTACTATTTGACATTTGTGTGATGGATCCACAACGGTAATGTGTTAGACATCATTTATGAGAAAAACAGAACTATCGTACATTATTATGTAAACATATTATACGTCACACCTTTAATTGCTACGACAGAAGGACACATATTAGACATTTTCAACACCCTCTGTTTTGCAGTTGAAATCCACGTCGATAATACAAGACGAACTATTTGCCATATACCACACACTATTCTAAACTCCGCGCTGAAGATCTTAAATAAAAAAATAACAAAGTCTAAAGCAAGAACTCCTTTGCCAAGCAGTCGCACTCCTGATCACTCGACTGATGAGGAAAGTATGCCTTACGATCATAAAAAGAAGGGCAATATAACAACGGGTTCCTACCCCGACAAAAATAAATAAAAAATAACTTATATTTATGCTATCAATCGATTAATTCATCTATCAGTGTTTTGACAGTAAACGGAATTTGTGATTCCCGAAATAAAATATTTTTAAATCAATTTTCCTGTTGATTGGAAGTTTGAACCAAACGTGCCGTAGGTACCTAATAATGAAATATGACGTCACATTTTAGTAGGTAAACAAATGATCTCACATCATGTCTTGTTTCATATTTTATGTCCTTTATTTGCCTCTTATTTGAGAAAATATCTAATTACTTAAGCTTCATTATTATATCAACTACAAAACCTCCACTGTTGAACGTAAGCCTTGCCTAATGATTTTCCGTCATTTATTTATTATAAACTGAACAGTTATCTAACAAATTGTGTCTAAATATAAATGGATATGAAGTTCATGCTCAATCTCTTGTTAGCTCTTCATCAGGAAATACGCCATTGTATCCCTTGCAGTAAGCCGGCACGTGTACTCTCACAACTCACGTACCGAACCGCATCCACGTGCATGAACTTTAACTAACGTGGGTGGTCATTCATTACGCAACTTAACGCTTGTCGCACCATTGCACTCTACAACAAACTACTCGACTTTAACAAAAACTAAGTAATGCATTTAACACAATTTTTTGGTTCTACAAATCCATCATGGCGGATTGATACTCCATTGATTCACGCATCCGTGACGAGTTTAGTGTATAATGACGTCACACAACGCCGTGACTGTGACGCTACAGTTACAGCGTTAGTTCCAATCTATTTATAGAGGACAAACTTTGATGAGTGTGTTTTTAGTTCAGACTTAGGGTAGGATGTATGAATGAAGCGTCAACTTGAGAAGAAACTAATACTAAAGGGCTTAGACGTTTCAACTTTGACATTGAACAAACTACCATTTGATTATACGATAGCATTAGGATTACAAATGTACAAAAACTAGGCTTTTAATGTCAAGTTTACAAGTTCAAATGAGTTCATAGGTCGTCATAATATCTGAAGTAAAAGGCCTATGTAGTAAGATTCACCCAAATGGGCAGCAGGTTCGACCGCCTGTCTGACCTGGCAAGTCACCGCAACCCTACAGGTCGTTGACCCTGAAGGACTGTCGGTCATAGTCCTCTCATTGCGTCATCGGTCTCAGGGTAAATGATTGTGTTCACTTCTACTTTTGGAGAATGGATAATTCTCCATAACGTAATCAAGATTATTTGAGTGTTTCGCTGAAAGTCGTAGACTAAGCAGAGTGAACGGTTTCGAGGGGTGATTCCAGGAATTCCGAGGATGGGAAGGCGCTATTTTTAGGTTTTGCTGGAAAATTCGTTAACATGGAGTCTAGAATTATGTCAGGCGTGTGACCTATACTAGTAACACAGTCGCTCATAATACTGAGTCGAAAAGTAGGATTGTAACACTTTTGTAATATGTCTTCTGACTGGTCCTGTATAGGATAATAGCCGTAATATTACGCAGTCCGATAAGGCTTAACCGCGAATCAGTAAGAATGAGTTTGATCGACGAGTTCGATTCACATTATTGATGGCTTTACAGGTGTTTACGTGGAAAATAAATGCGTTATTTCAATCTTCAATATTTTTACACAGCTCACAGCTTTCGAACGGTGTTCATATTTTTTTAGATTGAATATTTATACACGAAACTCTGGCTTTTTATAGATTGTGGAAATATTTTGTATCCAATTGGATATTCGGTGAAATGTCAGTTACGGAATTGTTTTATTTTTTGCTATTTTGTATTCTTTTAAAGGGTAGATTATACGTATTTCACGCCTACGTTTTGCTTGTTATGTTATTAGAATAATAACAGATACAATTTCATCCTGTTACTAACAATTTATAATACAAAACAACAATATTTTCTAAACCGAATCGAGTCTTTCCTGAGCGACGCTACGCCTAACAAAACAAGCCCAGTATGCAGTATTAACACGAAATACAAATATTCAAACTATTTAAACGTATCCGTGAGAATTGTTAGAAGTGTAATGTTTGCTTTAAACATAATTATGTGCACCGAAGAGTTCAAGGCACTTTTATAGGTTGTTTAAAGTCGACAGGGTATCGGCCCGGCACTGAACCCGCTACCGACATGTTTACATTACTCTACGCCTATGTAAACATCGACAGCTTCCACTGAACGTGCACTTACGTCTGTGCAGTATATGCTGCAGGGAAACCACACAATCGGACTCTTAGCAAATTACTACTGCAGTACTCGTGATTCACATTTTTCCTCCTTTACACTGCGTATTTCGACTTTTGAAACAAATCGTTAAAGGTTTTTTATACCTACATTGACTATGGCATTGATGTATTGTTTCTTTTTATTTGTATTATAATTTCCAAGTTCTGCGTAACTGGTCTATAAAAATAGATAAATAATAACTTAATGCGAGGTTGTTAACTTTGAGTCCGATCGACATTGACAACCTAAGAAACACTTTGGGTAACGTCTGTGTCTTTACGACACGTCATATCAAGCTATCCTATACTGTTACACATCTACAGTACATTTTCGACTTAATAATAGAAGCAATAAAATTTGTATTTCTATAACAGATTGAGGATAACTTATTGTGCTTATGTACTTACGTAGTTTTCAGTCATTTTGTATTAGTCGTAATTTGTCATTGTAACTGGTACTTTGTGTTTATTATTGTGGTCGCTTCTAATAAATAGTCTTTCGTCTGTCTTTTGTCGTATAACTTAACTATCCAGGAACGTCAGTTCATACAAACAATGTTACATACATACTTCACTTGTTATTTGAAATTGTGTATCAAGATTGAAGAAATACTTTAACTAATATGAAAATATGTACTATATCAAATGATGTTCATACTATATACGTCATTATATTACGTAGTTACCCGACCATTTTCAATCCTAACCGGAGCCCTTAAACAGCTAAGTACGCGGCAAACTGTCGTTGTTAGAAATCCAACCATGTTTTCCTCGGTCCATCCAATCATATTGTCACGAATTTTTATGTCAAATGCGATTAAACTCTAAAACTCAATCGATTAAAGTAAATGTCGATTCTTAATGTCTTAAAATTCCGTATATTAAAACAGCCTATAACTATTTTTATCAATAAAACACGTCTAAAGATTAATTACGATTTTTTAATTAGTGTAAATTATTCAAGCTACGGCCGGTATTACGGTACATAATTATGAAACTATATGTTCAAGTTAAATTGAATGGGGATTTACATAATTGAGCTTTTTACGATCGCCTTTTACGATTGTTTGAATGTTTGATTCCTTTGTTTGTATTTTATACCTTTTGTATAAATAAATTAATGTGTTATTTTGTTTGTTACAGGTTTAGACAATCGGATATCGAACTCAAGGAGTTCAGTCTCACCGTAAGTACATTTATTTATTTTTTATTATTTGATTAGATTTGGTTTGGTGACAACAAAATATAATTCATTTGTCACCATTGCTGTTCTTCTTATAAGGTCAAGGTGATCTCTCAAAGATTTATATGTTCATTGCAAAAAAGGTGATTAGTATCGAAATACTTACGTTAATTATTTTACGGTACGTACATACTATAAATATCTCTCCTCTTTGTTCAAATTGCATAGTTCATGAAATTTTGGAAAATAACGATTGCAAAGTTCCAACAGTTCGGTTCTCGTTTTACCTGAAGCTTCACTCTGAAGGGAGGTTGAAAACAAAATCCCGTGAGCCTCTGTCAGTCTGTCTGTCTCTAATAGATAGAGGCTTGTTTAGCTGTAAACTTTTTAACCATTTTGTTTGATGATAAGGACTTTATCTACGGTTATGCAATCTCTTCCCTCCTCATTTTCAAATCTCTTAGTTAATTGAACTAATTGTAGTTTAATTTTATAATTCAAACTAGTTTTCAATTGCTCTCTTGCATTTTATAACCTATATTCTACTTGAATAAGTGTTAATCGTGCCCGGTATATGGCAATAGGCTCACCCCCTGTTACATAGGACTCATAACATAAATAGTGAAATGTAGGTGTTACATTGTACAGTGGCATTACGTGCCGTAATGTGCACCTCTGCTTACCCCTTCGGGGATAAAAGGCGTGATGTTATGTTATGTATAAGAGTTAATTTTTCACAGTCTATAGAGAACTCATCCTATTTTCACCAACATCTCTTAAATTTAAACCAATCCTTAAGCCGAGATGGTAACATTTAACATAATTTATGTTCTTACTACGTTACGTTTAAGTGACACCTAACAGTACAAATAAGAGGTTAGTTGTAGTCGTAGGTCACGCTAAGGCGATTTTATTTCAGTAATAGGGTAGTTGCCTAAATTTTATTTTAATGTTCGACTGGTAGATTAATTTAAAACATTTGACACGTATTTTTCCTTTCTTACAAAATTAAATACTTTCGACGATATATTAAACTGAAATATCGTGTGACGTCCCACTCCTAAACTTAACTTTATTTTATCTAAATATTGTAACTTTATACGAGAAAATAAAAAAATACGTGTCTAATATTTTTTCATTATCTAACTGACGGACTAATTAGATTTTTAATTTTCATACCCCGGGAACTACCCTATAGTTCATGAGTTTAAACGAAAACGGCCATTACCAATTATGAAATCAACCACAACTAGGACAATATTGGGTATTGTTTATCAGTGACCTAATCAATATCAAGTAGGGCTTCGTCGTCACTCGAGAGTAATTCTATGAACGATCAAACAGGCGTGGCGAGCGGCACGTTTGATTACACATGTTTGAGAGCCTACACAGGACTTAGGCCGTATGACATCGACGAATAACGTGCAGAGGCGGACTATGGTTTTAGTAGGGCTCTAATAAATTGCCGTGGGACTTGTTGACAAACAAAGAGGTACAGAGAAGTGGTAATAAAAGTTAAGAACTTCTGTAAACTGTACATAAATAATCATTATCTGTTTGAAAATGTCTCCAGTAGAATAAAAGCTTAATGTTAAACGCCATGGGGGCCACCAGTGATTTTATTGACAGCCACAGGCAGCCTTAACATACTACCTGGTGATCAAAGTTAGATTATTAACGATGTGGTTTAATTTCATATGAGCATCTCTTATAACGAAATTGAAAGGTGCCGCCCAGACCCGATTTATCTCTTCTGTCTAAATACTCGAACACCACTCCATAGATGCCACGTTATTTAACCCCTCGAGCGTCCTTATGAGCACCCGGTGGATCATAAGAAATAATGCTCCATGCTGCTTTCTCTTTTATAAAATCTATTATTAATGTTTTGTTTTTTTGATGATCCTTGTTTTCGTGTGCCAATGGCCAAATAAATGCATTTTCTTTCTTTCTTTCTCCAAATGTCACGTGTGCACCCGTTGGATCATAAGGAACGCGGACGCTCAACGGGTTAAGTACAACTTAAAATTGAGTAGCCTTTCAATGTTCGGGCGTTCGAGTTAGGCAGAAACCACGGAGCATGATATAGACCAATTAATAAATAGATATTATTGTTAACCCGTTGAGCGTCCGCGTTCCTTATGATCCAACGGATGCATACGTGACATTTGGAGAAAGAAAGAAAGAAAGATAGAAAGAAAATGCATTTATATGGCCATTGGCACACGAAAACAAGGATCATTACAATAGAAGTAAAACAAATACAGTCAAAATAAAAACAAAACATTAATAATAGATTTTATAAAAGAGAAAGCAGCATGGAGCATTTTTTCTTATGATCCACCGGGTGCTCATAAAGACGCTCGAGGGGTTAACTATAATAAACCCTTATAGCTAGATCTATCTACCATGGTACCACACTACCTATGTAAGGCCCAGTCGGTCGCTCTGCAAACAGTCGCCGCACGTTCTCTTCAATGCAAATGAAATGGCTTTCGTCTACCTACAAAGTCCCTAGTGCGAGTATGTTTTACGTCAACGCGATCGACACGTTTATGACGTTCGCCGCTCTGATTGGCTGCTTCAAGTTGCTGCCACCAATCAGAGGGCTGAACGCGGTAACGTTGTTTTCGCGTTTTCGTACAAATAACTCGCACTCAGGATACAATTAACTTATTATAGGAAACGCAACCATGTCCCATATTAACTGATTGTCAATTTTATAGGTCTTTGTTAGTTTTTTATTTAGACTTTACTGAAAAACCTTAGGATTTTGGTAACTTTTCAGATAAAAGGATTGTCACATAAAACATTTTGTTCGGTTATTACATTGAACAACGCGCCGACTATCTTATTCTAAGCACAATTCTCCACTTTATTGTTTTTGTGCTGAGCATTTCAATATCAAAAAATCTTAAGTACTATTTTCCTAATTGTAGTCAATACTGAGAGATGGTGTTATGTGCAGCATACAAAATAATGATTATCTAAAGTACAACTGATTTTTGTCCTAATCCATAATCTCTTTTAATTTCAGTGATGTGGTGAACAAGGACCTCGGTTTGTCGGAGAGCGACGATGAGGTCAACGCCGTGATTGGACCGTAAGTTCATTTCAATATAAAATGTAACTTCCAGTTATCCCCATTTATGTTACATTTCACATTTATATAGGGTGACCCAGGCACCAAAGTCAAAGTCAAAATCATTTATTTCAATTAGACCTGGAAGCCATTTTTGAATGTCAACAAAAAATTTAAAGCTCATTCCATAGTGTAGATTCCTATGGAGAATAACAATTCCACAATTGCAGACTTTGGGCTAATTACTAAGAAATCTTAATAACATGGTCTGACCCGCAATTTGAAGTGCAGACTTAAGATCACAACACGGCAGCCATTGATTCCAATACCTGCGTACCTACTTAACAAAATTACCTTCCTCCACTTTTGCACTAGTTCTCCCCCAAGCTAAGTTTATAATTGATTTTTATCTCGAGTTACTCTGTAAGTTTAAAGTATGCAGTCTAAATTGAATTTATTTCAACAAGCCCTAGCTAAGCTTACTTCCATTCGTCTTATTGCGTTTGAAAGGATTGCAGTTTTATGCTTTACGATTTTCTTGAAACTGTTGCTGTTTAGCTATTTCAGTATTTTTTCTCGTAGATTTTAGGTAGGTAATGTATACTTTTGAATCTTCTATGATTTGTATTTGAAACTAAAAATAATTTTGGTATTAAATTATTTACTATTAAAATTCGCAGGCCTATATCACCAATCGGGTCGGCGACACCAAGCTCGGGTAGTTCATCACCGTCTGAGGATTCAGAATCAGAGTCCTCGTCCGCGGAGTCGACGGCCCCTGCGCCAGCGCCGACGGCGGCCGCCCCGGCACCCGCCCCGGCCGCCGCGGCCCCTGCGCCCACGCAACGCTCGTCCTGGGGCCTCTCTAACTTCGCTCCCCCTCCCGCGCATCCTCCAGACCAGACCTATGACTCGGGAAAAGATGTCAGACACGCCCTTGCCGATATCAAAGGGAAACCGGTGAGTTCATACTACTTCATTTCATAGGTAGGTATAGGAACTTTCAGCTACTGTAAGTGCGTACCGAACAAACTTTGACATCGATGACAAGTTAGCATTTTAGGTACTCAAATTATTTCAACAACTTGTCGACAACTTGTCACGTTTATAATACTTACACTTCATGAAGTGTTTAATGAATTCCCAATATGTAGGTGTTCGATAGATAGACACAAACAAATCTCAGAATCTTTGCGTCTCACGGTAGATGGAATGTCTACATCAGCATCTTCCATATTTAGGTCTAACATGCAATATTATCCTGGCTATATTCAGCCTTTCTCAGGTGTCATGTTGCTAAAGATAAACACTACTTGGAAACTAACCACCGACCCACACGATTCTTAGTAAAAATACTAAGTAAGCACACTTACAATTAGTTGCAGTCTAAATTGGAAGCTCGCTCTTGATTTGACGACTGCAGTGGGAACGGACCGCTTGTTTTTGATTGGTTGAAATGAAGCATCTTGTTATACACCGTTAGGTTGTTGCTACTAGCTATAAGGAACGACCTCTTAACAAAACTGGACGTTCATGGTGCACACGTCGACAGTTAGCACCAACACGCCAAGTGATGATTGTACAGAATAACAATTTACTTTACACTGTCAAATGATCTGCCTCATCACCATACAATGGCTCAAACAACAGATATCACGCAGAAATGGATCAAACTAGCGTTACTAAAGTCTAGCCTACGGTATGGGCTGTTGTGCTTCGAGAATAGTATACGGGATGTGCCGTTTGAGGATCGAGAGAGGGTGTGGTACCAGTTCCTTAAGCTAAAGGCAGTGATGTGGCAGGCTGTCGGAGCTATGCACGGGAGTATAGGATCTGTGTGCACGTCTAGCTTCTACGAGGTGACCAAAAAGAAAATCATTTTCTTAAAAAAGTCTCTTTTAGACTCTATTTGCGGTGGACTTGAGTGGACTTTTGTGTGTTGTAAATAGTTGCTCATGTGTATTGTAATGGTTGTTGCAGAGTCCGATTTCTGAGATGTCGGATTCCGAGGCGTCGTCGCCGTCCCCGGACATTAGACGGAGGCGGTCCAGAGTGTCGGCCGCGTCCAGCGATGAAGACACGCCTAGGCATACGGTAAGATAAATGTTTATATTTTAATGTATGTAGTTTTTAAACTACATACTACATGGGCTTTAGCCCAGAGGCCCAAAAATTACTTCAATCCTCACTTTACCTTAAAATGCATTCATAGGAACGTGTACTTTCTTATCTTACTATAAATATGAATATTGACCAAATAGTTGACACGAAGTGGTCTTCTCTTATCCCATAGACATCTCCACGCGTGAAAGTGTCGGAGTCGTCAGCGCCGACGGGTGCGGTGAAAAGAGGCCGGCCGCCCAAGGCGCGGGCGTCGGAGGAGCGGCCGCTGAAGAAGCCCCGCGGCCGCGGCCGGCCCCGCAAGCCCAAGCAGGGCTCGTCCCCGGGCGCCGCGCCCCCCGCGCCCCCGGCGCCCGCCCCCGCCCCCGCCCCGCTCCACGACAGTGACGTGGAGCCCGACCCACCGCCACACCATCATCCTCTACAAGACACCAAGACGCACATCTTTCGCAAGGTAAGGCTTCTGAATAAGTTTAAAAATATAGAACTAGCTAAGATTCAAGCTGACACAAGACACGAAAGTTCAATCGGATAAAGCTCGTATCGTTGATTTTTTAAACTTATTCCGTTGTTGCACATAAATGTGCTCTTAAATAAAATATATTAAAATGAAAACTTTTATTAATTGCACACTATGTTTCCCCAGGTTTTTACACCAAAAAAGAGCGACGAGTGCGGCGGCAAGGGAGGTAAAGGCGGCAAAGGCAAGGGCGGTAAGGGCAAGGGCCAGGTCACCATCATCGAGGTCACCGCGCCCGACGCAGACGACGAGGAGCGACGCAACCACGAGGCACTCGCCCGACTGTCGCCGCCGCACGACGCCAGGCGGCACGACGACCGACACGACCGACACCGTCGCCGCTCCGCCGACCGACTCGACCGACCTGCCAACGACAGAATACCCATCGACCGACCCCCCAGCGATCGAACGATGGACCGGATACCCGACCGGACCTCCTACGAGAGAATACCCTCCGATCGAATTGTCAACGATCGGATACCGACTGAACGCACCTCCAACGATCGGATACCCGATCGACCGGTCGATCGGATATCGACAGAGCGAACTCCGACCGACCGCGCTTCGGACCGATCGTCATCTGCCAGCGAACGGTTATCGGTGGATCGGTTATCCGGCGGACTGTCGTCAGATCGGCTCGCGGATCGGCGGTCGTCAGAGCGAGTGCCGAGCGAGAAGATGTCCATCGACCGCCTCCCGACCGACAGGGTCACCCTCGACCGACTGTCGGGGGACAGGCCCCACGACAGGATATCTGCCGACAAGCTCTCACACGATCGACTGGCCGACACCAAGGGTAGGTTGGGGGATAGCAAGCTGGGGCTGGACCGGCTGGACAGCAAGTTGCTGGACAAGTCGCTCGACAAGTCGCTGGACAAGTCGCTGGAGCGTGTGGAGCGCCTGGAGAGGGCGCAGCCCGAGCGGTACGTGCGCGCGGAGGCCGACGTTGGCTCCGGGCTCAAGTCTAACAGGGGGGAGGATAGACTCGAGGACGCGACTTCCAACGGTAAGTTACAATTCACATCAGCTTAATCACACTACGATTAACCGTAATATATATTATAAGGTTACTTATGTTTACGTTTGTCGTGCAGGTCGGTCTCGTCCCCGCCTGATGGTCCGCCTGTCCCTGTCCCGGCTGCGGCCGGACACGCTGCGCGCGCTGCAGCGGCCGGCGCGGCGCGCGCCCGTCAAGCGCCCGCACTCACCTCTACCCGAGCAGGTACACTCACTCACTTTACTATACACTACAGTTTTAAAGGTGTCAGCAGAAGCATGTTGAACATTGCTTGTTAAAAATAAATGCTCCAAATCACATAATTATAATACGGAGCAAGTCTCATTAGACTCCTGCCTACTACAATGAATTGCATAAGATGCAAGTACGGTTTTGTTACCAAAGACTTTCTTGAAAAATCCTGTTATTTAAATCGAAACTGCTTTTACAAGCCATACAGTAAATACGATATACTTACAAATACTCGTGTACAGGGTGGCGAGGTAGCGGCAACAAACCACGAGCGGACAGAAACGTACCCGGGACAGACTCCCATATACTTCTCATACTTCGAGAGACTACCCGCCGACGCACTGTCCGACGAGGAGAGGGATCATAAGTAAGTCACATTCATATTATACATTATTGTTAACAAGCATCTATAAACGATAATAATAATAATTGCACTTTTCGTCATTGCCAATGATATAGATGTAGTGTTAACACAAAGTAATTTCTATCTTAATTTATTGACACAAAAATGAATATGGCGATATAGCATCTTTTACCATATTACCCATCAAGAAGCTATCTCATTACTATTAACATAAAATCAATAAAAATCTATGGAGATCGTGTCCTGGGACATAGACATATTCCATGGGACTCATAACATAAGTAGTGAAAAGGGGGTGATACATTTTACAGTGGCATTAAGTGCCGCAATGTGCACCTCTGCCTACCCCTCCGGTGATAAAAGACGTGATGTTATGGAGATCGGTGTACTCATCAGCGTTTTAACCTTTCTCTCCGTAGGTACTACCTAGAAGAAGCAACGCGTCTCCGCGCGGCCGCTGAGAAGGAACAAGAACCTCTACCGCGCGTTATGCGTTACCTAGAGTCGGTACTATGCTTCGTTCTGACCGGGCGAGTGCTGGAGCTAGAGCTCGACACTAAAGGAGCCTTCACCATCTACCGAGAGACCATCGAGTACATCAAGAGTATACACTCCATGCCACAACGCTTCCGTGCCAGTCCGCACGATACCTTCAACAAACTGGATATACTGAGGTAAGTTATAAAATTAAATGCCTATTTTAGACTTTATTGTCAAATAATGAGGTTGAAAATGCGTTTTCAATACCATATTACAAATTGATAATTTTTCTTTATTCGATTTTCGACTTTATTGTCAAATGATGGGGTTGAGAATCTATTAAAGAATTTTGATAGTTCAGTATAATAAATACAGATGCAAAAATTTGTATGTATTCACAGTAATTTACTTACTAGTGATGTTCTAATTACTTCTAATGATAACATAATTTATGGATTTCTCATTAAATAATTAAGTAAGTGTGCTTACTGTCTTCTGGGTAACGTCAGGTGGAACATTTATGCTTTGTGGAATTTCGAAAAAGTATGAGAAAAGTCATAGTTACAAATACACCTATTATTTATCATAGCATGACATACTAAGTATCGCTTTCCATTCCAGTCTCCGAGTCCAAGCTCTCCTGTACCTGCGCATGTTCAAGATGTACAATCGCGAAGTGAAGGAGTACAACAAGATAGTCCACGAGTACCAACAGAAGGTACGTGCAGATGTCTGTATCGAATTGTCTTTTATTTTTATACCTACACCGCTATCCGCTAGCCGCCATCTTTGCTCACTTTCTTGTATAAGTTTGATATGATATTCTGAGTCTTATGTATTGAGGGGTAAGGTGAGATTTCATATAGTAGATTCAATATTTAATCTGTTTTAAGATTAAGATGAAACAATTGTAAGTTAAACTTCGATATTTAATTTGGTTTCTTGATGACTTGATGATGACGTATATTGCGATACGAATTAAAATCTTATTTTGTAAATTTTCTTTAATAACTTTTGCAAGCCACTTTGAAAAACTAGACAGTCTGAGTAACAACACCGAAACAAACTCGAGGGCTTTAATTTTAGAAAACAAGTACATTTACGTTTTGAGACAAAGGCTCTCAAAGAATCGAGTCTAACTAAATCTAAGGTATCTTAGAAAATGTTTAATCATTTCGCTATTAAATGATATCATTCTTACATTGGACTCAGAATATCACATTGACCTTTTATATCTTTTTGCTTTGCACAATTACTTGTTTAAGTTTTCAGCCTAATTTCTTCACAATTTGGTATATTATCTGTATCCATTACCTTAGTTCATATTGTAGAACCGAAGATTAATGTTTGTTGGTGCTTTCATAGCCCTTATTTTATACATATTCAGGATATTCCAAATGAAACGTCTTGTCTACAACCTCTTTTATTTTAAATAAAAGTATTTTATTTTAGTCATTGCATTGTTCTCAAATAATACGTACAGTATTGGAATATGTATCAGAGACATTGTAGAACATATATTTTTTAAAAGAGTAACGAATTGAGTTTCTTTCATTTTGAAATGGCACCTAGCTTCACCTAGTTTCACTGACGGACTGACCGACAGACTATTATTCATTTTGTATTTGTTGACGTTTCAAAAGTACCAAATTATGGTTTAATTGAAATAAATGCTTTGACTTTGACTTTGATTTAATTTAATATATGGAAACTTGTGCGTAACCAATGTCCAAATACTCAAACGCCCCTCAATTCTAAGTCGCGCTTAAGTATAGTTCTGTCTCTACAAATTCTTTGTAAAATGATAGAGACGGCACGATTATTTAAGTACAACTTACATTTGAGTAGCCTTTTCAGTAACCGGGCGTAACACACTCTCTTCTTAAGATTGTTTTACATATAGGTTTTTTCTATTTAAATAAATAATGGATACAAATAAATAAATCAGGCTAAGAAACTTAAACGAGTGATCTAACATCCTAATAGTCACCTTTACTAAACAATCGTGGGTTTGGTGCCATCAACAAAATGTGTATATATAAAAGATATTCGATTTTCTGTAGTGTTTTTGTTTTGTTTTATGAATAATGTTACATTATATTTTTTATATGAGAATAGACATATTCATTTATGTCGTAACGTTTACAACGTCTCAATTGGATTATTTGCAAAAACATATAAAATAAAACTTATCATTTATAGTAATTGTAAAGTAAGTTTGACCAAATCGAGTAAATCAATTAAATGTTCTAAAGACATTTCAAGTTCAATTTCCTTTCCGTTTATTCATTGAATCACCAAGCTTTTTTCTCTTTATCTCTTTAAAATAAGGCCTACAATTGCAGCGAATGTTTATTTTTACTTTTTCTTCTCCCGTAGCCGGCGCTAGCGGAGTCTGTATCCCCGCTATCCCCGACCCCGTCCCCCGCGGGGTCGGTGGGGTCCGTGGGTTCCGGGTCTGCATCGTCCGGGTATTGTTCCCTGGCCCACTCAGTCCCTGCGCACGCGCACCAAGCGTTGTTGCTCCTCAACAAGTACTACGCCTTCCTGTACGTCGCGCACGACCTGTGGGAACAAGCTGATTCCTTGTGTCGTCTCAGGGCTAATAGAGGTAATTAAAACTTATTTTATTATATCTTTTAAACAATTTTGAATAAAATTAAATAAAAATACTTCTAGGTTCTATAAAAATTACTCGTAAAGAAATGGGTCCTTGATTGAATCATAACAAATGAAATTTGTTTTTCTAAACATTATTCTGTACTAAATTTTTTTGTCTAAATTAATTTAATATGTAAGTGCGTGTTTGGGTTCGAAGCCAACGTTTCGAATTTTTATAATAATTATGTATTTAAAAATATGTGACAAAAGCAGTTCCTAAATATAATGGTGACCGTTCCAGATCTGTTCATAGCGGTGGACCGCAAGTGCGGGCCGCTGTCGCTGTCGTCGACGTTCCGCCACCTCGTGCAGTACGTGCGCCACGCCATCTCGCTGCTGAAGCTGGCGCCCCGGGACTGACGCCGCGCCGCCCGCCACTGGTAACCAGACCCTATCTCCGACGCATAAGCACCAAAATCCAACACACTGTGACACGCAAAACTACCTATAAAGCACTCCTTTATACGTAGTCTTGCATTACATTTAAGATTGTCAAAACGAATTGTTAGTATGTGTTAGTAAACTGCACTCGTGATTTGGGCAGTTCTGATTTAATAAACATATCCTTAATTGAATGATAATGGATATTTTCTGAAGTGCGTTTACTAATACAGACGTTTTGTCACAATATGTGTGTTCGTAGCGATCTGTATGTGCTATTGTAGTTAGGTAACTTTGGATGATTGCGTGCATGCGCATCGCTACGGTACTAGTTCGGTGCTCGCATTTACTTGGAGATATTGGGCCGCACCAGTCGGCGAGATGTATGATAAACTCAGCAATATTTACCGAAGAGATGATGGTAACATTACCTACATTGAAACTATCCCTGTATATGAAACCGGTTCCGATGCATCGGTTACCTCGCAGCGAGCCACGAGAATGCGAGAGTAACGCGGACAGATCCGCTGTGTCACTCGACAATATCACTCAACTCAAGTCTTCGCATTTCGTTCTCTTCCCAAATCGATGACCAAAAAACAAAATGTAAAAATTTGTAAGAAAATTGTAAATAAGGCATCGTTGCGTAGCAACGGGCGAGCGAGTCCGATTTGATTACCGACTCTGTATCATAAGTGATAGACTAATCATATCTTAAGTGTTTTGCGTTGTAGTTTTACTTCCCTACCAATGGAAACGTTTTACTGTCGGGAACACATATACTAATTGCTCGTTTGTTAGTGTAATGGGAGCTATACGACAAAAATAATTTTTTGATCGCATGTGGGCCAATCGAGTATATTAATATAACTCAACATGTATGGGATCACTTGTAGGTCTTCGCAATAATTTACAGATTTATACTTTCGCAATGTTGATTTACGCGAGTGACGTGCGTGTCATTTGTTTTATAATTTAGTTTAGATGTATAATTGTAGTGCAACGACTTTAGTATCGGGGCGACCTCCAACGCATTCGGGAACTATACAGAGCTGCGCGGCGGGAGACATGGCGGACGGTGGTTAGGCGGATACAACACCAACTAGCTTAGATTATTGATTGTTACGATATTTTAAAAGAACGTTGAATAAGGTGCAATATGCAATATCGGCGCACGATTAACTAAATTGACTGTGACTAGGCAATGAAGTGATATTTCATCTACCTCATGAAATAAGGTCGCTACTTAACATAGAGTCCGCTCTATACGTGTATTCACTATGCTTCCGCACTACGAGACTTCCAAACGGCACGACACACAATGACTTACACTTGTAATATGAGAATGAATTGAACGATGTCTTAATGAAATTGATCCGATTGGCTGAATTCCAAGTCATTGTTAGGAACTTTGATAGTTATACTTTATACTGGCATTCATGGACTCATGGAGCCAAAATTATCGTTGTGAAAATTAAAGACGCTAGCTACAGTTTTAAGGAATTAAGTTAAATTAATTTAGATGATGTAACACGCCCGCCATGGCTCAGCGCCGCGCAGAGAGCGAACAATCCGCCGGGACACAGGTTCCCAGTACCACACGTCATAGGTAGCAGAATACTTACTGAACAATGATTGAGCAAAACCCTGTTTATGGTCATGTCTTAATATAAACATTTTTTCGTATACATATCAAATAATTTGGGGACAAATCAGGTAGTTTCATTATGAATGTAATCGATGGCGATCTATATAATTTTGTACGCTTAGAAATGGTAAAGTACGCGATCAAGACAGTCGTTGGTCTCTGATCATCGCATTATACACATTATTTGGAGTGACAATAATACTCTGCTAGGGGAGCTAGATTCGTTTATATGTAAAGTCCACTGCCCTTCGGAACGCGACGCAACGCGACGCAACGCGACTTCGTCGAGTGCAATCCTGAACAAATCAAAATGAATATTCCTTTCGTTTTATAATAAAAAAAGTTCAAAATATATTTTAATGAATACTTTTGAAGAGTACAATATATGCTTGACATGAACAGATTTGACTCTGCAACAAAGTGTCCGTAACACCAATATATTATATATTCCTCTCGGTTGTTTATCAAATTTATGTTGTGATTGTATATACATAATATTATTATATTATACATTTTGTAATGAATATACATGTTAGTGCCAGATAGGTTTTTGTATGAACGTTTATAGTAAGAGAGGTGAGGGGGCGATCCGCCGGCTACATGTCTTAAGGAGCGACTAGAGATGCCTTGTACATAGTATAATGTAAGAAATGTGTAGTTTTCACTCTATATTTTAATTTATATGTAAACTATATTTATAGCTAAGCGGACAAGGAGAAATTAACATAATAATGTTTGTATAATGGTGCGTGTTTCGATGTGAGGCCTGGCGTGAGAGTGGACTACGAGTGTACGTGAGCTTGCAGCGTTCACTTCTAGTGTTTGTACATTGTACACTGTGCATTGTACATTGTACACTGTACACTGTACATTGTACGTCGTAGGTTAGTGGGAGCGGTCGGCGAGTCTCGCGGCACGTTACCAGCTAGTTACCGCACTGGGCCACTACCAGCGCATACTTCAATACTTAACGTCCGTCCGTACGTTCACTCGCTCAGTGACTACACCAACACTGGTCAGCCAACGCAGTGCTCCACACAGCAATAAATACTTAAACTCAAGAGCACCGCCAACTAAAGTACCTCTACTGTCCTCGCATAGATATACATCACACAAATAGTACCGGGAATATTTCCAAACAAAGATAAAGTAAGTTTTATAGCAATTCTTCAAAATCGAGACTATGTTCTGTGTGTTCAAATATGCCAAGTGAAGTTGTCACTTGTTGTTGGGAGGCGAATTGAATATGTTTTGGACAGTACTGGTACATTTATGACCAGTGTCGTGTGTACACAGAATAGTATTGAACGTACAGGATGTATTTATTTAACGTAACGTTTATTTCGTTCGTCTTAATTCGAAATATTCGCAGCAACATTAACATAGTCTCGTCACCGTCGGTACTTACACCCGCACAAATGTTTTAATTTAAATTTTAGTTGATTATTTAATTTATTGTGGCATTGTATTACTTTTAATTTTACTGCACATGATGCGAAGTTTACTTAAATTGTAGAAGTTATTGCGAGGCGTTATATCAAAGATCTGGCAATGTCGAGTCGAGCGATATCACGCGTGACGTCGCCTCGACTTGTCGACTCGTGGTAATGCAAACATTGCTTTTTATTTATTATTTTCAATCAAAATCATAAATTTCATCTCGTAAGGGAACTCGCGTATATGTACTTGGTTTTTGTTAATCGTTATAGTTCGTAATGAGTTATAATACAATTATTATTATTATTTTTGTTTTGTTGCTTATTTTTTGTGGTTAAGCTATTATTTTGGCCTTAATATTAAAAGTATCACAAAATTACCATTGACAAAAGAACTGTGATCAATATTTTACTTACAAATCCACAAGTTTTAATCTTAAATGAAGAATCGATTACTTAATCTCCCCACTTTTAATGTTGTTGAAGTTGTTTAGGTCGGAGTGACCTATAGAGTGCGCCACTAGCGGACTGGCTTACTTATTAAGTTGTCTAAGTCCCCCCTGTAGTGTCAATGGATTACTTAATTACATTAGTTCTTTCCTCGTACCTACGGGTACCATATTCTGACCACCATGAGGTACATCCTAAATCAAATGAGCCTAAAATTGAAACCAAATTGACAATTAATATACTAAGATGATGAACAAGTGAGCGCTGGTTATGAAGCATTAGGCGATTGTTTTAGGAAATTGTAAAATACTGTTTTCTTTTTTAATAGCATCTTGTGTTGATAGCATGTATAATTTGTTTTTTTTTTATTCGCGTTAAGAATTATGTATAAATTTGTTTTCCTTTAATTTTATTATTTGTGTAACTATACCTTATGTTATTGATAATAGAATACATTAATTTTATGTATCGATTTATATTTGTTTCTTTATTTTACCTTTTTCCTTTTGGTTGAGCATGTGTGTGTGGCTAGCAGACTCGATAGTCAGTCAGTCAGTCAGTCAGTAGTGCGTGGGCGGGCGGGTAGTGGATGCGAGAGAGTCGGACGCTTTAGTTAAGTCATAGTGTAATACAAAATGCCTTTCGTCAATTTTGCCATTTCGAGACACCATGTCGCCGCAATCGCGCGGCCCTACAAGCTATTGCAATAATATCGTTCAGCGCAGATGTGATCGTCAGTAATGCCTTATAGCAAGTGTCTTTCAGCTGCAGATTTTAGAGTAATTTTGAAGCAGTATATACAGTAAGTACCGCGGGCCCGGTGCAGCGCGACAGTAAGTCAATCTATGTGAGACGGACGCGCTTTACATTAGTCCTAGATTATAACTCGCGACTGTACATAAGTAGGATATAATACGAGGTACCTGTATACACCGCAACACCAATACCTACTTATTGCAGATATATTTATACATCAGAATATCATATTTATACATCGGCTTCTACACTATATTTTAATAAATAGTCAATGTTTTGTTGATCGGTTATAAAGTAATTATAAATAAGATTTAATACATAATGTTGGTGTTAGATTACCTAGGTTAACGATACAAAGTACAATGGTATGTAGTTACTGAAATATAAAGAAAAGCAATAATATTTTAGTCGATTGACTGGAGGCGGCGGCTTCCAGGCTATTAAAGGCCAGGAGACATGCTAGCATTCGCTTCCACTACTGAGCAAGCGTTAAAGGAGTGGTACACATAATGGAGATATAAAGGATTGCGTATATGTCTTGTTAAACTGCCTACAACTGTCGCCGCTGTACCGCGCCCGAGGTACGAACACAGTTTGCAGAGTATATCAATTATAAAGCTAATATATGAGTATATTTGTACGTTAGTCTGTGTGTCGTCGTTAGATTCGTGTTGGACCGCTGCAAGCTCCTCGCTGCGGGCCGCGAGCCGGCCCTAGCAACGCGCTTTGTATACGATAGATATAATAGTTTTGCGATACATATGTTTATGCAGCGATCACCTGATCAGTTAGAGTATTCATTCATAGTACTTTCACTTATATTTATAGTTGACGTTAATGCTTTAGTGTAGGTTATAATCGACATTGTGCTTTACTAAGAGGCTAGTAAGGTTCATATTAGTAATTACACAGTTGTGTTCATACTTTGCAGAAACAAAACACACAAGTTAGTATGATGGTCAAATATCGAATGAAACTGTTGTCAGTTTATCCATAGAATTACAACAGAACATTTTAAACATACTTATTATATACTTGAAAATGAATTGCAAACAGTACATTGATGAGATGTAGTAGATATAGATAAATGTGTTCAATACAGCAATATACAGCAGTTATTCAATTTGGCAAATATTGTAAAGTTGTCAAAGAAATTTATATAATTATTTATATTATATGTTATATAGAGCAATTATTGTTATTATTGCATTATATATTATGTTATTACCCTTAGCCGATTGTGGTCCGTAGATAAAAAGCAATCCTAATATAAGAATTCTATGGAATCTGTATAAGGCTATGACTACAACCTAGTCGGGTAAAGACTAAGAAAAAGATAAATAATGCTATTGTTTTTGTTGTTATTCTATTGCCACCTAGAAAAGCACAATGTCTCAGTTACTAAGACATCACATCACATAAAAATATGCTTAATTAAATATTTCGGGAAAATAAAAGAAAGAGTGCCTAATAAAATAGGTATCGATATCGATTAACAATTACGTTGAACAAGCCACGAAAAAGTCGATAAAAATTTTATCGATAAGTTACAAGTCGCATCCTTATTGGTTATTTTAGTTACAATTTCTTGTTTATTTATGATTTAAGTAGAAAAAATGTTTGTTCGTTGATATCAACTATAGGTATAGGTTTGAGACAGGCGAATCCATTGCAAATCTTCAATTAATTCCATGAAATTAAAGTATGTGAAATTTTGTGAAAATAAACTTAGTTGTTATGAAGTAAATAATTTAATTTCGCTGTTTATTGGACTTCTTTATAAATAAACAATAATTTCATTTTAGTTATAGAATTGTTTGTCATATGAAATTAACACCAATAGAAATAACACAAACACGGCTATAGCTATAATGAGATTATTTGTGATTTCAATTTGTGAGCTCAACAAGAGCTTAATCAAAGCAAGCGAAACATTACCTTAGTAAAATATTTAAAGTATTGCCTGTTAACAATATTATAGTTACTGTTATCATTGCTATACCTAATTAGAAGTTTATTGTAATCATTCATTTACCAACAACAAATTAATATAGATGTTACATTAAGATAGATGACACTGCAACCTGCAATTTTATACACCAAGCAATTATACTATAAGTTACCGTAAGCAAGCCATTAAAACACAAACGTTGTATATTCTAAACTATCGACGGAATTCTAAATTGAATGTCGTATATAGTAACGAATTGTATGTACTCGCACATTGAATATTTTTGCAGTGATTTTGATACGACGACCTGTATTGAGGAGTACCTTCACAACACTCCCAGCCTTGGTGTGAGAGGGGAATTGAATTCGTTTATTTTAGATTTAAATATGTAAAGTTCAAATGGGAAATTTAAATTGTGCCTTAGTGACAAATCGTTTAGCCTCCAATTTCGTTTGGAATCTCTCGAGAGACGTGGTTAAGAGATGTGTTATTTTTCATCAGTGTCGATCGGAATCAAATACGTTCTGATACTCACTGCACTGTACAGTACTCGCACTATGTAAATGCTATACAGTGGTTTACTGAAAACCCCTTCCGGACTTATAGTTGAACTAAATTAATGCAATAATATTTAAACAATATTTTTGTTTTATTGGATGTTGTGATTGATTATATTTACAATTATATATTATACGTAGAGCAGTATGTATATGTCGTAGCAATAACTTTAAGTGTGGCAATAAGATATAGTGCATTTGCTTTTGTGTCTCGAGTAAATAAATGAAACGATGTATATGCATAGAGTACCCAGTGGCGACTAGTCGAGCCGGCGCTGTACACTGCTTACATCATCATGTACGTACAATAAGTTCAAATTCTTGACGTTTTAAAAATATATTTATATTTTATAATATATTATCTCAAGTGAAAGTAATTAGTTACGTAGTGAATCGAATGTATCGAGTATCGTGTGTCTGGTCAATGTTCGTTACGTTCAAGCGCAGCGCAGCTTGCCGCAGCGCTCCCGCAGCGTGGGCGCTCCGAGGACGCTCCGAGGACGCTGCGCGAGCTGCAGCTACGCGGCGCGCCATCTTGAACCTACTTTCTATACGAGTCTGTCGCTTACATCGCACGTTTCCTCTCACTGTCCTCTCTCTTGTGTTACTACATGTCCGAGACAAATTATTAGCGTAAGTCAAAGTGCCAAGAGTCGCGAATCCTTTCCTAAGTCCAATTCCTTCTCAATTACTCTGTACCTACCTGTATATGTATGTACGTCAGTTAGTTCACGCACACACGACGGACGTGTCGTCTCGCTTAGCCAAACTTGTCTATTACTACGGGATACTTTTAATTAGAAACAATTTTATTATTGTAACGTTCGAGCTTTAGCAAAGTTGCGTGTGTCTACAAACTGTTGAACGTGTCGTTATGTTTGTATTGTTTAATATTTCCTTCTCTCACTTCCTTCCACCATTTTGAAAGTGTCCCGCAAGTCAAAGTGAGAAAATAATAGTGTATAAATTAACGAATCCCATAACGTTTAACTTAACGATACTAGCAGCTAATGTTAATGATATTCTAAATTATGTTTTGTAGTGGATGTTTTATTCTCGATATGATAGCGTAAAGTACGGAGGTGGTCTTCGTATGTTAACAAATATTAGAGCAAATGTAAGTGGCGACCTCTCGCGGTGGATTCGTGGGGATGTGATAGGCAGCGAATCAGTCGCGAGGGTTCGAAGCCGGGGCGGTGCCTGCGCCGCGCCTCAGTCCCGGGACAGGGCGGGGAGCAGCGCACCGGCTAGTAAACCGACGTCGGGCCTTCGCTGTAACACACATAGCGGCACGAGCCGATGTTACGTACATTTGTAACGAGTAGAACGCGTGTATTAAAATAAGGGACAAACAAATTATAGTATAAAATTGTTTACCAGACGCCCCGTATCGGGCGTTAGACGAAAATATTATTTTTCTTAGATCACATTATATTGTAATAAAATGGTATAGAAGTATGCGTGCGGCTGTGCGTCGGGGCAGCGATGCGCGCGCACAGATTAAAAAATGTTATTTTTTTACGAGCGCGGCAACACGCCGCCCGGACGCAACGCAAGCACTCGTATTTGTTATGTTTAAGAGGAAATATCTATTGTCTATTCCAAGGGTTGAATAACTACCAACACTTTTTTATATTACAATAATTATAGAAATTATTATTGAATCTGTCGTTTCCTTTCACTCTTCTATTTACCCTACCTCACATACCTACTGCATACATATGCAAGTGCATAAGTATTCTACTAACTATCACACAATTCACAATCCTTTATATTCTAGATACATACTACTATTGCTTTTGACTTACAGTGGTACAAAATCTTTCATACTTATCATAAACAATACTCAGAACATAAATCAATGCCCAAAGCAAAGCCACATTGAATCGACAAGTATGGTAAAGAGATCTTCGGTAAGTATCTTCAGTTATCTATGCAAATAAAGAAAGGGTAGGTGCAGGTAAAGGCGAATCAAACTTGCGGCCTAGCGAACACCTCATACGCGCCTAATTTTTTTGGCGACGGAGCCACTCTGGGCGTACACGCCTAGTTTGGCTTAGGGATATACAGTGCAGTGCAGGTACATACTTGCTCACCATTGAGAAAAGTACAAAAGAATTCTACTTTACGACCGACACCAACTATTCTACATCAGCATCAACCACGGGCGCACCAGAGAGAGGCAGGCGGACGCTGCATCAACACATCAAATGTTTAAGATAGTCAGTGAACTATCTCCAAGGACTTTGCCTTAGTCTTCATGCTTCGCAGGCGGCTTGGAGATCGCAGTTTAAAAGGTTCAGGTTTATCAGAGAGCGCTGATGCTCAGTCTCTTTTAAATGTGTAGTCCCATCATCATGATCGTCAACTGCTTATAAATGCCTACTGCTGAGCAAAGCCTCTTCTCATACGGAGAAGGTTTGAGCATTAATCACCACGCTTGCTCAATGCGGGTTGCCAATTTCAAACTTATAATTATAACTTACTAGCAACCCGCCCCGGCTTCGCACGGGTTCAATATGCATGTATTATATATTATAGCGACTTCGTTTTATACTATGTAATGATAAGCCCAGGTTTCCTCACGATGTTTTCCTTCACCGTTTGTCAGTGATGTCTAAATAACCTTAGAAAGTACGTACAACGTCTTAAACCTCCGGGCGACCACGATATGTAGTCCTATAGTTGACCTTTATCTGCGACTCCCGAAAAAAAGCACCGATACTGACCTAATGTAATTTTACCATGCAGTCACTACATGGTCTAGCACAAAGACTACTATATTATACTGGTCTAGCACTAGCAATAATATTTTTACAATTGAAACAGATCTAGGAAGCTCCCAAAAAGTACAATAAGTATAGGGGAAGAAGCACCTCTCGTTTTCAAGATTACTGGTATATAGGTTGGACATCCTTGATTTAGAGGCATTGAATGCAGGATTTGTAAGTTGATTAGGACAAAGTCAGACTTATCGACCCTTAACAATTATTTGTACAAAAATGAATATTAGTTTTCATCAGAATGTATATTAGGCTGGGTACTCACTTAGCATAGTATACGGTATCAAGTGAGTATGTAGGCACGAGCCCGCTGCGAGCCGCTCGCGCGTGGAGCGCTGTAAGCTCGCAGTGACCCGCCGAGAGACGGTTTTACTGCGAACACAAAGGCGGCTCGCAATGTACTCGTGGACGGCGTCAGGACCGCTTGTATAGTGAGTACGTACGCGCGAGCTTCAAACGAACTTTACGTAGGTATTCAATTATTCAGGTTCAATTGAGGTATACCATATTCCAGTATTGTAAGACACTAAAAATAATAATCTTATATCTTATCTTATACTATTATATAAAACGGAAGAGTTGTTTTTTGTTTGTTTGTTTGAACGCGCAAATCTCCGTAACTACAAGTCTGATTTGAATATTTTTTTTGTGTTGGATAGCGCATTTATCGAGGATGGCTATAGGCTATAAAACATCACGCTACGACTAATTAAAGCTGAGCACAGCGTGTGAAACCGCGTGGAAGTAGGTAGTTATTACATAAAACTAAAAGTGGATGCTTGACATGTTGTCGGCGTGACGTCGTTGCGAGCACTGCGGAACTGGCAGCTTGTAGCTAGACACGCGGTGGACCGTGGACGAGCCGTACCCACTTGCAGGTTGATACCGTATCTAATACGTTACATGCTACACTGCTAAATGGGTACCCAACTTTAGAACCTAGTTCTTGGGATATCGCAAGGTTTTAATGTCGACTTGGAAAAGACTGGTCGTAAGCTATTTATACAAATAATTTGGATATATAAGGTTATAAATATAAAAATGAAAAACATGGTTAAAATATACAACAATACATTTATTTTTAATTAGTCCTGTATTATTAGTCCTGGTTCCGTACATGCTTCTTTTTCTTCTTCTTCTTCTGTGAGTGTGCTTCTATGAGGTCGTCGATTTCTTTACTGTCGTCGCCTAGACGTTTCTCGCCGCTGGAAATAAAATATAAGTTATTAGAGAATTGAGATCTATACTTATAATAAATCTGTAGAGAGGTCAATTCTGTACATGAAATATATTTAAAAAATAACTATCAAGGGGTGGTTAGGGATCGCCACTGATGCCAAAAATGCAATCAGTAAAATTTTTGTCTGTCTGTCTGTATGTTCGTTATGGAAACAAAAACTACTCGACGGATTTTAACGAAATTTGGCACAATTATTCTTCATACTCTTGGGCAGGTTATAGTATACTTTTCATTACGCTACGATTAATAGGAGCAGAGCAGTGAAGGGAAATATTGGGAAAACGGGAGAAGTTACTCCATTTTTTAAGCTTCCGTCGCGTGGGCAGGCTTATAGGTTAAAGCTGCATAGAAATCATGTACGACGGAAATATTCTCCTTAAAATTATATAAAAAATATTCCTCGACAGCACATGTCTATCTTTTATGGTTGACTCACAATAACACGTGAAACTCCCGATAGCTTAGCAATTCGGTGATTTCTGATTGTATTTGTCTACTCTAACGTTTACAATACTCATTCATAGACTTTACGCTGTAACTGAAAGGCCAATGGTTGAAATTAGCTTGACTTGATATTATAAATGAAAATATGTGAGTTTATGTGTATGTTTGTTACTCAGTCATATTAAAACGACTGAAGGGACCGGAATGAAATTCGGAACAGAGGTAGATTATGGTCTGAAGTGATACATAGGCATTTTACCCCTGGGATTGCGGGCGAAGCCGCTGGCAGAAGCTAGTACATAATAAGACGAGTAAGTAACCGTATAAATGTCAGTCTGACGTGAATCGTCATTATATACATAACATCACACCTTTTTATCCCTGAAGGGGTAGTCAGAGGTGCAGATTACGGCACTTAATGCCACTGTACAATGTAACACCCACTTTTCACTATTTATGTTATGAGTCCCATGTTCCAACGAATGCAAACCCGTGGAAATCGGTTCGTGCGTTCTGGAGTTATAGCGCCAGGAAGCGACCCGACATATTTTTATATAGTAGATTAAAAATATACCTCTTGACGGAAACCAGTTGTTTCTGCTTGGAGCCGGCGAGGGCCTGGCCCCAGTCGAGGTCGCTGCCCTTGATACGATACTGTGCCAGATCCTCGCCCATCAGTCGAGACAACTCCTTACGTTGTTTGCGCTCCAATTCCTGCAAAAAATTACGTAATAAATTAATTTCGTGTAGTATACTTATAGTGAAGCAATAAATTATCGACTTTATCGTGTAATAATAATAAGGTTGTAAGTTTTAATAGTCATGTGTTTTTGATGTCAACCTAAGCTAGCGCCAGACGGCTCGTATTGAAATAATAATTTAATTGACTACACGGTAGGCGTCATGGCTAGGCAATCAACTGCTACGCAATCTGCTACCAATTAAATTTTCAGAAGGGATATACCACCACACCACGCAATAAAATTGTGGCACTTATGTCGGAATACTGAAACGCTACTCAACTTTAAGTCGTGCTTAAGTATAGTTCTCTCTCTACAAATTCTTTGTAAAATGACAGAGACAGCACGATATTTGAGCACGACTTAAAATTGAGTAACGTTTCAGTATTCCGGCATTAGTGTAGGGAATTGTTACAAAATTAGTCATTTCCATGTTGCGAATCACTATTTTCACGTTAACAATCAAAATGTACAAATAAAAAAACTACCTCATTAAACAAAATCATTTATTTCTAAACCACAAAACTACAGACACAACTAAGAACCCAAAAGCAATTACCTTGGCAGCTTTAGACAATTCGTCCTGCAGGCTCTGTTTGACGGGACCCATGGTGACGTCATCCGTATTTTTATCTTCAATACCGATTTCCTTCGCCACAGTATCTTCTAGAACTGCGTTGATTACTGTAGTTAGCTTCTTGCAAGCTTCGAAGAACTTCGCTAAGATCTGCGAGCCTGGTAGCCCTAGTTCCTTTGCTATGTCATCCACGTCTTTCATTTGGAAACCCATTGCTATGAATATTACCTGAAAATTGAGATTTTGTTTTTGTAAGAGCCTCTGTTAGGTAGGTTTTTATAAACAGGATTAGGATAAATAAATAAAATTAGTCTTTTGATATTTTATAATGCGATGAGTTTAAAGAATGTGGACTGCTTCATTGGCCGAGTTGTTGTAGTGCTACTGCCGGGCAAGGGGTCTCGGATTCGATTCCCCGGTCGGGCAAGTATTATAGGGTTTATAAAAAAAATCTCAGTGGTAGCACGGAGTCTGGAGTCTATGTGCCATATATGGTAATAGGCTCTCCCCCTATTATAAGGGACTTATGACAAAAAACAATGAAAAGTGGATGTTACATTGTACAGTGGCATTAAGTGCCGTATGTGCAGTTCCGCCTACACCTTCGGGGATAAAAGACGTGAAATTATGTTAAAAAAATGTGTCTGTGTAATTGTATGTTTGTAAACGCATCCACGACACAAGAGAAAATCCTAGTGTGGGGCAATGTTGTAAAAATAATAGGCAAGTATAACTATGTATGCCAGTATATATTTGAGGTGTTACCAACATCAAACTTACTTTTCAATAAATTCTCTAAAAACTCTACCTCTAATTGTAATAAAATATTTATATTCTAAAAATAGTTCAGTAATTTGGTAGTTCTAATTTGCCCATTTTCAAAAATCCCGGAAAACTTTCCAGGTAATCCCCATATTTCCCACTTAATCATCGGTATAAAAATAGAGTACAATTTATACCTGTTGCACAGCATCCAGTTTGAGCGAGGACTTAGTGTGGAAGACGAGAGTGGCGAGTGGTCCCAGGAGGTCGGTGACGAGTCTGTAGTCCGCCTGTTGGCGGCTGTATGACTCCAGGCGACCCACGTCGTGGCCCGACAGTTGCTGCTCTATTAGCTCTTTTGTTAATGCTGGAAGAAAGATTATTTTCTAGTTATACAACCCTTAAAAGTAAAAATTTCTAACTATTCTTAATCTTCTAACTCTGAGGACGTGGTGCTTTCATTGCGATCCAAAAGTTACAATGAACTTTGTTGTAAATAAAGGACACTATAGTTTATTTTATACAAAAGTAAAAATAAAGACTGCCTCGTTGGCCGAGGGGTCGTAAGTGCGACTGCCGCGCATAGGAGCCTCGGGTTTGATTCCCGGGTCGGGCAAAGTATTACTGGGTTTTTAAATATTCTCAGTAGTAGTACGGAGTCTGGAATATGGCAATAGGCTCACCCTACACATGGGACCCATAACATAAATAGTGAAAAGTGGGTGTTGCATTGTACCGTAATGTGCACCTCTGCCTACCCCTTCGGGGATAAAACGCGTGATGTTATGTTATGTTAAAAATAAAGAGTTTCTATTATTACAACACACTTTATAAGAACAAATGTGGAGACATTGCAAGCAAAAGTTTGGTTATGATTGTAACAAAAAAAAATTGAAATATTTTGATAGATTCACTAGATGGCGTTAAATAACAAATATCACACTGTCTTGAATACGAAACTTTATCTTTTACATATTTAAATAGTATCCAAACGGAAGTTTTACTTACCAGGTTTATCAATAGCGACGTTATCATTGAGCAGCGTGGACAGTGCGAGTGGGGCGGACAGTCCCCTGAGACTGCGGGCCAGTAGCCGCGCCAGTCTCCGCCTGAAGTCCGCGCTGTAGGCAGCCAGCCAGCCAGGCTGGCGGAGCGCGCGGAGCATTATACACGAGTGCTCGCCTGTTAACTCGTTTGCTTTTTGGCTGTAAGATGTGAAAAGTGTTATAGTTATTAGTATCTGGTAGATTTTAGAGATACATGTAGTATCATAATTAATTTATGACATAACATAACATCACGCCTTTTATCCCCGAAGAGGTTGGCAGAGGTGCACATTACTGCACTTAATGCTACTGTACAATGTAACACCCACTTTTCACTATTTATGTTATGAGTCCCATGTAATAGGCGGTGAGCCTATTGCCATATACCGGGCACAATTCCAAACTCCGTGGTACTGCCAAGCATGCAGTCTGTAGTTTTTCGAAATAATTTGAATTAAAACGATCTCAACTATGTAAATAAACATTACTTAACATTAATTTTTGTTGTTTTCCTTTCATTAGCAGATCTGAAGGTTATTATTCTTAAGAGTGTTAAATAAATAAAGAAAGAATCGAGTCCCAACACAAGTATTGTATAATAACTTACTGGGACTGCCTCAATGTTAGACATATAGTGTAATTCTTAAGATAATAAAGAAATTTGAATTTGAAATATCGTATAGCATTTTAAGTTACATTATAATTTATGTAGTAAAATATTAATGGCAACTTTAGCCCAAACCAAACCAACCTTAGATAAACAGGAACATATTTCTGTGACTTCCAAAATTTGAGGAGTTCCTCTGTAAGTCCGAAGCTAGTGCCGAGGTAGTCCAAGTGTTCAGCTCTCACCTCTGTTAGACGTTTCAATAGAGTTGGCGGCTTTGCCCTGTAAAACGGATCGGAAATAAGTTTTAGAAGATAGTCGATAGGATTTTAACTCGTCGAGTACCGGTTTTATAGACACAATTAAAGAACAATAGGTCGCGGTCACCGGTGACCGCTTGGTGTTTGACAGTTTAAACTTGAAATTCAACAGTATTTCATTGGATTATGCATCACGTTGCTTATGGGACGACGTACTCCATCGTAGACCGCATCATCGCTTACCACCAGGCGAGATAGTGGTCAAACGTCGGCCCATTAAATATAAAAAAAAGTTAAATGAGCCTAAGCCTTAAATAATGCAAACAATGTATTAAATGCAGTTAGTGAACTGATTGAATATTGACTCATATACTGTAGTCAGGGTGCTTACTCTTGAATCAATGTCAATGCAATTTCAATCCAATAAAATCTCAATAATTATTCAATGTCAAAACTATAGTTGTATAGTTTACTTTAACTTTCAGCGTTTGAATGATTATTTATTCCTGGAATATGGTCAGAAGTGGGTGATTCAGTCCAAGTCAATATTAGTTCCAGCTGTCACTGCGTCCAACTCTTTTTTGCCAAGCCGCACGCTGACCGTATTCTATACAAGATGAACATTACACAACATAACATCACTCCTTTTATCCCCGAAGGGGTAGGCAGAGGTGCACACAGAAGTAACACCCACTTTTCACTATTTGTTATAAGTTCCATGTAATAGCTATTTATGTTATGAGTCCCATGGAAGTCAGCCTATTGCCATATACTTGGCACAATTCCAGAGTCCGTGCTAATTAGCATTGTCCGACCCGGGAATCGAACCCAAGACCCCTTGCCCGGCAGTCGCACTATGGCAAGATGAATATTACAAATAACTTTATTTTAGTACATACCTAGGCACAATAGTCTCAGTCTGCAAAGTGCTGGTATTCCCATTAGCGTTGGTGTCCTCCCCGTCGGAATGTTCCTCGTCGAGGCAAGGAATGTCGCCCGCGTAGTACGCGGCTAGTTGCTGGAGGGCACGCTTGCCGTAGCCCATCTGTTGGGGGATTTTGGTGGTTATTTGTATGTTGTTAAGGTTTATTTTGATTTAAATAATAAAAAAAATAATACAATTTTTATTCATATTAACTCGTCGAGTACCGGTTTTATAGACACAATTAAAGAACAATAGGTCGCGGTCACCGGTGACCGCTTGGTGTTTGACAGTTTAACACTGGTCAACATAGGTACAAAAATATCTTAATTAAGCGACAAGATCTTAAAAATAATATGCCTAAAGAAATTTGGAATGTGTAAGAGAAATGGATGGGATATAAGTATCTTTTTTTCACACAACAAGGACTATCGGTGTAGGTCACAGTCAAAATCAAAGTAAAATTAATGACAAATTAAACTGTCAAACACCAAGCGGTCACCGGTGACCGCAACCTATTGTTCTTTAATTGTTTTATAGAAATCAGCTAAGTTCCGTGTTACATTTCTTAAAATATCGCCAGTACAATATTTGTGTAATATTTCTTAAGAAACTGAACTCGATCATTAAAACATTTAAATTATAATAAAACCACAACAACTATTAAAAAAAATCAGAAAAGTAGGGGAATTTGAGCAAATAAAACCCGTGATTACGTACCCTCTGATAAGACGGATGTGTAGCTATCCTCACGATCCTGGCCCCGGAGAGCTTGGGGAAGTCTTTGTCACCAAACTGCTCACATATGTTCCACGGGATCAGATCTCCCGCCGCTTTGCGACCGCGGCCTAAACTGTCGCGAACTGATCTAGAAACATAAAATATTTTCACATAACATACATCACGCCTTTTTATCCCCTAAGGGGTAGGTAGAGGTGCACACAGAAGTAACACCCACTTTTCACTATTTATGTTATGAGTCCCATGTAATAGGAGGTGAGCCTATTGCCATACACTGGGTACATTTCCAGACTCCGTGCTACTACTGAGATTTTATTTAAAAAACCCAGTAATACTTTGACTGACCCGGGAATCGAACCGAAAATCGAATCGAACCACACGGTCAACGAGGCAGTCAGTGAAGTCAATACCTATAAAATCTATAATTTTGTCGACAATATCTAAAAACCCAGTAATACTTTGCCCGACCCGGGAATCGAACCCGAGACCCCATGCCCAAAGACTCGGCCAACGAAGCAGTTAAAATATTTTCATATTTCAATTATCTCTTCAAAAGCTTAGGAAAATGACTACAGATTGAGATGATTAACGAAAACGAATTATTTCTCTCAAAAATATAATATTGTTTAAGTTTTGCGCTATATGAGGCACAAAAAATCAAGGTCGCGTTGTGTTTCGTCGTGTGTGAGAAATTACCGGTGGTCCAATTACGCCCTCCCCAATACCCGAATCCCCAATCCTCAAATTTTTTACCCGCAATAGGTCGGTAACGCGCTTGTAACGTCTGTGGTGTTTCGGGTGTCCATGGGCGGCGCCGATTGCTACCATCAGTCTGCTCGTTTAGCGTGCTATGTACTATTCCATTAAAAAATTTAATATCAACTTAATTGTTATTAATTTATAACATTTAGAATATGACTTACTTGTCCGATATATTTCCCTCCAAACACATTTGTATGACACAGAGTATCTCCGGCATAGACGTACTGTTGGGCGGAGTGGGCGCCAGTAGTACGAACAGACAGTGCGCCGGCGCATCCGCTAGTAACTGGAGGTCGTTCGGACTGTTCTGTGAAAAAGTAACGTTAGTATTTATAGTCGTTAAAACTGCTCTATATTCAGCAGTAAATTTAATCTGGGCTAAAATGACAATAATGATAGAAATTAAAAAGAATATTGAGAAAGATTTTTGAATTTCTTATTTTATAAAATATGAAAAAATAGACAATAAGTAACGGAAATTAAATAAAAACCGAAAAGAAGATATACAAGTGATTGTTTATTTCGTTCAAATGTAAATAATTCACGATCAGCTATTAATGCTAATGACTAGATCAATAAGTCTCATTTAAGATCATGCAAGAAGATATAAAATGAACATTTAGCCTACTCTCATCCTTTAAGCAGACCTGTTTATACAAAAGTAGTCTCTATACATTGGAATTAAGGTTTATAATAGAGTGAGCGAGAGATAACACCGGTGTCCTATCGGCTATTTAGAAGTAATTGGAGTATTCAAAATATAACGGATAAGAAAATATATATATAAACTTTACCTTATAATGGCTAGCAACATAAATAGCAACGAGTCTATGTAGAAATGCTTCAGCGGCCTTATGGTAACAGAACAGAGCGTCCCTGTTGACTCGGTAGAGGTCGCAGGCGGCGGGGGGCGGGGCGCCCGCGCCCGCGCCGGGGGGCGGGGACTCCAGGCACAGGAGGGAGTTCAGCCACGCCTCTACTGGGTCGCCTGACCGGTAACGAATTGGTTCTTCCAGTTTTATCTACAAAATGAAAGTTATTTTTATTTTTGTGTAACATATTTGATATTACTGTCTCGTTGGCCGAGTGCTCGCAAGTTCGACTGCCAGGCAAGGGGTCTCAGGTTCGATTCCCGGGTCGGGCAAAGTATTACTAGGATTTAAAATCTCAGTAGTAGCATGGAGTCTGGAAATGTGCCCAGTATATGGCAATAAGCTCACCCCCTATTACATGGGACTCATAACATAAATAGTGAAAAGTGGGTGTTACTTCTGTGTGTACCTCTGCTTACCCCTTCGGGGATAAAAGGCGTGATGTTATGTTATGTTATATTATATTTGATATTCATTATTATGTTTTTCGGCTAACCCACGTAATTATGTGACGAGGAACTCGACTAGCTACTGCAGTAGCAGCGACATTCGCAGCGTCGCGGGCCACGGAATGCTGCTCATGAATATGAGCCCCTAGCATGACTTGAAACCAGTCGAGTTCCTTGTCAAATAATGCCGCGAATAAGCCAAAAAAAAACACAATAATTAATTTAGTATGTCTAAAGCAATATTTGATCTAAAGGAATTACTGGAACTATTTAATAAACAACAGGTGATTAGGCTATTTTTAACCATTCCATAAGTTTCATTTTAAAATCATTTCTTCAATATGAAAAACGATAAACACAACAACACGTTTCTATAAAAGAACTTGCATACTTATTTGATACGAATCGGCGTTTTATTTTATACAAAATACGTGTGTACTATTTTTAAGGCAATTAGAGGTATTTCTGTCATAAAAACCAGTACTTACAGGCGAAGGAGCATTATGTTGAGTTTGCAGCTGAGCGAATAGCTTCAAGGAGAGTGCCCGCCCGGTGCCCTCGTACCCAGACACCGTGGACGACAGCAGCGCCAGCGGGGCGCGGGTGGCCGCGGCAGACACGTGAACTAATGGAATGGCGGCCGCCTCGTCCACTAGCACCAGGTCCGCCGCGGATAGCAACGAGTGGTCGTCTGGGGTTATGTACTGGGGGAGAGAAATTGTGATTAAAAGCGATAACGCAAATTAGTATTCTTCAAATTGCTTCATACTTATACATAATTTATTGCAAAAGAGACATTATTTCAAAACCGGAAACTGTGAAAAATTTGGGGTTAGTTGGCTGCGCGACGTTCACCACGTAGTATGTCGCGTAATACTATGAGCCCCGATGTGACTCGAAACTGGTCGAGTATAATCTCGTCAAATAATCTTTACGTGCCCCAAGCCGTAAAACATAATTAACTTAACCCATTTGGGACCAAATGTAAACTACACATAATTTAATAAAAAAAACTTTATTAACTCAATGATATGACGCCCACAAACTAATATCAGCAAAAAAAATTCAAAAATATTTTTAGAAGTATTAAAAAAAATGCCGTCCTTGATTGGGGACAACGGTCTCATATGTAGTACTTTTCGAAGTAGTAACTGTTTTCGACACATAAGGTTCTAACGCATTATTTGCATTGATATCACAGTTTTTTTATGACGAACTGCGTGTCGTAACAGATATTAACTAAATCTCTGCGGAAAATGTATAAATCAATTTGATGTGACGCGCCTATATTTTTTTTGAGGGTAAAAATCATGCATTGCTTTTTCCCTGGGGGACTCTTACTGGCTAAAAACCAAACATTCCTAATTCTGCTTCAAGCCGAAGCCCCGGTGACCCACTAGGTTATTCACAGTAGTCGGGCATCTGTCCCACTGAGCCATCTCGATCTAAGGCGGTCTGATCTGCACTTTGAAGGACGCGCGTAACGCCACACACCTTACAGGTACAGGTCTGGTTCTAGGCGGCGATCTGTTCTTGCTACTATGACTGCTTCGCAGAAAGAGATGTTTTCCAGTTCCCCTCGCTCCGCACCACAGCCAGAACCTAAACTGGACGTGGAAGATTATCGTCGTCGATCACTTCCCTGAAGACACGGCGGTGGTCAACGTATACAGGGCATAATGCTACTCTCTGGGTGGACTTCGCTGTGACGACACTAGAATACAGCTGGAGGAAGAATGCCCCCTACTGCTGAATTCTAATATCGGATGCGACGCCTGGTACTGTAGGTGGACTTTTGCATCTTCGGTCTTGATGCCCATCAGATTTTAGAATATGAACGCGTAAAGATATGGCGGAATTGGTGATGCTCTTCGTGAATTAGCGTCTGTTGTCACCAAGTATTAGCTACAACTAAGTTTAGCCTAAAGGTGACCTTTATAAATTGGAAAACAAAATATAAATCAGGTATAAATGTTTTAAAAATATACTACAGATGTGCCCATTGTCCCCATACGGGGACACCATCATTTTTTCTCACTTTCCCCTAAGCGGAATTGAAAGTATAAGGATATTCTTCAATATTGTTTTAATTGACACTATAAGCAAGCAATAATCACAAAAAAGTTTTATAAATCTTCATAATAACGTACTACAAAACGCCTTTGCTTTCGATAATAATTCCCATTTCACTTCCTCTTGATAAAATTGACAATATGACCCCTTTTTTGTAGCAATTTGTCAAAAGTTCTAATAATTTTAGGAAGGTACACTACTCCTCATTATAAATACCCATGAAATGTGAAGATAGCTAAAATAATTAATAACCAGCGGGTAAAAGAAAACCTGTCCCCATATGGGGACGGCGGGCCCAAATGGGTTAAAGTAACTTAGTACAGTGACATCTACGTAGTTGCTGTTATTTTACAAATACAATATATATTTCTAAACACGAAAAAAGAAACGCATACCTGCACAGTCTGCCTGGAATTCCGAGCGATATTGACCCTTACTATCGCCTTCTTAAAGTCGGGATTCGTGGACCTTACGATGTTGTAGTCAATATGTTCTTGGTATAGGCAGGCGTCGAGGCCTTTGAGCAGGAACTCGAACAATGTGATCAAGTTCTCTGGATGTGGCGAGGTGACGTATATGTTGACGTATCCGAGTGCCACGGCGGCGGCGATGGACAGTCCCAGGCAGGCCGACTTACCGCGCCCGCGGGCCGCCGTCAGGCAGTGCGGCGGCCTGGACGTGGCAGGAAATAAAGGTTATTTTTGTCTAACTGCCGCACTCAGAGACATTTAGACTACTTAAACTATTCCTTGACAACGATTTTGTTTCGAAAACAATAGCTCAGGCCGTACGGCACGTTTTTGTCCCCGAAGGGGTAGACTGAGGTGCACATTACGGTACTTAATGCTAGTGTACAATGTAATACCCACTTTTCACTATTTATGTTATGAGTCCCATGTAATAGTCCCCTATCACCATATACCGGATACAAATCCAGACTCCGTGCTACTACTGAGGTTTTTTTTAAAACACTCAGCAGTACTTTACCCGACCCGGGAATCGAACCCGAGACCCCTTGCTCGGCAGTCGCACTTGCGACCACTTGGCCAACAAGGTAGTCATAGTAATTTAATAGTTACGTATGAGTACGGCGCGCAGTACGCTTTTGTCCAATAAAAGAACACAGAAACCATAGTGACACTACAATTTTTAACAGTTTTATTATCGTTAATGTTTTTGCATTTGGTTCTACAAATGCAATAATAAAGAACTTTTTTCAGAATTCCTAAAGAAAGAGCTCCGTAATTTTTACCCTAAGATGACGTTACTACTATTTTTAAAGGACTACACTGTCATGAAAGAAACCTTATTCCAACAAAATCAATGTACATTTTCCCTCACACTTTACCAGAACTTAATTTTAATAAAAAACAAACCTTATGTTACAAACACATAAAGTACTATATCCCTTACCTGGCCTGTTTGTCAGCGAGAGTATTGATGAGCGCTACGAGTGCAGTGGCCTGGTCGTACGTGCGACACAGCGCCACTAGCGGCCCGCCGGGGGGGGAGTCCGACAACGATGATATTAACTCGGTCAGTTTTGGATTGACGCGCTGAAATAAATTTTATTAAGTAAATAATTTGATTTATATTCGTTTGTAACTTACACAGAATACTTTAGTAGAATACATACATACATACGCCTGTCTCCCATGGGAGTAGGCAGAGACCATGGAACGCCAATTGCTCCGATTGCTACATACCTCTTTCACTTCATCAACAGTCATCAATCTTTCAATGCGAATACGTAGAATACGTCAACTATTAAACTTTAATAGAGTCGAAGTTATTAGAAGAAATATTTCAAAGACCTCTAATAAGTCAAACTGAATCATTATCATAGTCGTATTTTAGACAAAACTTTAATATCAATAACTATAAAGTTCTCAACTCTTTGATAGGAGATGGTACTTTTTTATGGCATAATCCTGTAAACGAGCAGACGGATCACCTGATGGTAAGCAATCGGCGTCGCCCATGGACACCTGGAACACCAGAGGCGTTACAAGTGTGTTACCGGCTTTTTGGGCATTAGGAGTTTCGAGGATCGTGTGGGATTTAGGGATTGGGAAGATTGGGGAAGGGGAGGGTAATTGGGCCCCCGGTGACCTCACTCACACGACGAAACACAACGCAAGCGTTGCTTCACGTCGGTTTTCTGTGAGGCCGTGGTATCACTCCGGTCGAGCTATTCGTGCCGAAGCATGGCTCTCCCACACTTTTTTTTATAAAAACGTAACTTTTATCAGACATCTCGCAGCTAACTGACTGCAGTCCACAGCTCATGATTATGCGCCCCAGTGTGACTTAAAACTAGGCGAGCTTTTTAGAACATTTTTATTTTATTCCATGTTTATAAACCGAATTGTATTTTCTATATCTAGATGACTGTTTAGATGCTTACCTCAGGCACCCCATCAACAGGTTCAACTTGTGCAGTCTTGGAAGATATAGGCAACACAGTCAGAGAGTCATCCAGTACCAAGCAGCGAGGGTTGTCAGCCAGGGACAGGAGGAACCTCTCGTTGAAACGATTCACTACTGTGTCATACGCTTCCGTTTTGAATCTGTGAAAGACATGTTGTGTTAAAATGTAACATTGTATGCATATTTATACTCTATACTAATATATAAAGCTGAAGACATTGTTAGTTTGCATCTAATTTCCAGAATAACTGGATGAAATTGAATAATTATTTTTGTGTTAGATTTCTGTTATAAGCAGCGTTACGCGACACACGACGCGGCAGCTGTCACTAAACTACTGCTCATGAATATGAGCCTCTAGAATGGCTTGAGACCAGTCGAGTTCTTAATTAAACAGTTACGTGAGTCAGCCAAAAAATAATGTAATTAATGTATATTAATTTTTTTTAAATGTTGCCCATTGATTGCATTTACAAACATACAAGTTCACATACACATCACACCCAAACCCGGAACGACAATCTGTGGATCACACAAAGAGTTTCTCCATGCGGGAATCGAACCCGCGACATACGGCAGCCAGTTGTCCAGCCACCGCACTAACCGTGCAGTCGAATTATGTGTCATATGACTACTAGCAGCCAAGAGGTCAAGCAGCACATGTTACCTGGAATGAACATCCATAGTAATGGAATGTAGCTGCCTCAGAGAGTCCATAGATTTCAACAGGAACACTATGAGCCCACCACCTTCCACTGTCTCCACTGTGCGAGCCATCAAGTTAGGGGTCAGAGCTTCAAAGTCCTGAAACAAGTTGTTAGAGGTCACATATAAATATAAATGATATTAACTCGTCGAGTACCGTATTTATAGACACAATTAAAGAACAATAGGTTGCGGTCACCGGTGACCGCTTGGTGTTTGACAGTTTAATGCAGTTACATGTAGATTTTTGGTGATTATCCATCTTGATTTAATTATAAAGATTTCATGCCTAGATTATTAATTTGCTGGATTAACTAAATTCGACAACTAACACATTGAATTTTAAATTAGTTTGCAAAAAATTATGACTGTTTCCACTATTTAATTCAATGACAACAAAACAAAAACAACAGTATAAATGCCCACTGCTGAGCAAAGTCTCTTCTCACACTGAGAAGGTTTGAGCGTTAAACACAACAGGTTTCCTCACGATGTTTCCTTTCACCCTTTGTCAGTGGTGTCTAGATAATTGTAGAAAGTACATATAACTCAGAAAAAGTCACATTGGTACTTGCCATTGGTTTAGAACCTGCACCCTTATGCATGGGAAGCGGACATCTTTAAACCAGGCCACCACGACATTTAATTCATCACTATTTAATTTTAGTTATTCAATATAATTTTTGCTATCTGAACATACCTGTAGCACACACATCCCATAAGTCTGACCGAGCATAGTGTGGCTCTCCGAATAATACCGTCCGTGTATAGTTGTTGCAACTCTGAACGCATCAAATAGAGATTCTTCTGACACTTCCAACTTTCCCGCTGCTATCTTCTTTGCTCTTTTACGTCCATGACTAAACAAAGTACATATAAATCAGAAAGTTGTGTCATTATTAATAGAAAAAAAAGAGACTATTTTTTTAATTATTTACAGTTTCACTGTAAATTTCTACACAAAATTGATATTATTATACATATTTTTATAGAACTGCCTCGTTGGCAGAGTGGTCGCAAGTGCGACTGCCGCGCAAGGGGTCTCAGGTTCGATTCACGGGTTGGTTTGGCAAAGTATTAGTGTTTTCTTTTTATTTCAGAAGTAGCATGGAGTCTGGAATTGTGCCCGGTATATGACAATAAGCTCATTATATTATATACACAATAGTATTACATGGGACTCATAACATAAATAGTGAAAAGTGAGTGTAGCATTCTACAGTGGCATTAAGTGTTTTAAAATATGCACCTCAGTTTACTCCTTCGGGGATAAAAAGGTGTTATGTTATGTTATTTTAGTAGAAATATCGAGTTTTGTATGATAAAAATAGTTCTACATTTATAAGATTTTATGAAAATAGTACTTTTAGTTTAGAGGGAGATAACTAACTTTGATCAAACTTAGATGATAGTTTTTAAAAATTTTACATTTTGAATTATTTTTTACTCGAACTTACTTGCTTATAGCCTCATCCTTATTCTTATAGCACCATAAAACTGTTGGCCTGGCCTTCACAGTAGATTTTACTAGCATATCATACAAAATTGGAACCTGAAATAATACAGAAAAGTTAACAATTTTATACAGATAGTGAAATGTGGTCACAGATGTAGAACTAGAGCAATTTGTCTATGTTTCGTTTTTTGTCGGAAAAAGCTATTTTATAAGCTCATTTTAATTGAGGCAATAGTCTTGAACAATATTTATTGTATCAAAACAGTGTAATCAATGACATTACAATCTGATGATAATTAAAAATATACTCTAACCAAATATTCGGTCCGTGAGTATTCATACTTAGATTCCTTAGATTCTAGATTGCAAAATTATAGTTTATTATATATATTGAACATAAAAGAGACCGTACAAGAGCACTCTTGTAGCAAGTGGACTTTATTGTTAATACAAATGTAGAAGCAGCATGCCGACACTCTTCAAATATATTATTTAGAAAAGATGCGTGGTACTTTTTCTTTCGTATGATAGTTTGAAAGTAACTGAATTAAGTCGGTGGTTTGGTAACTGGTGATTCATTTCTCCTCAGCAATATGAAATGTATCAGTAACTATGTTATTTAAAAATAAATAAATGTGCTTACTTGATCTCTACTTTTGTCTCCAACGAGAAGGATCATCGTACGATGCCCCAATTTTACACCATTCTCTATCATAACCCTAATACGGTTATCTATTTTCTTCTTCACCATTTTGTTAGCTTAATTCACAATTTTACAAATAATAACTTTGTATTTATAACCTCTACGAATTAATCACACAACTTCAGCTTCGAGCATGAGCATGTTTATACGAAAACTGTCAGTGTCGAGTGACAGACAAGTGAGAACGAAAGGACCGAGAAGTCAGAATGTCAGATGGTTATTTTTTTTAAGTTCAAGTCTCTATGCCGAAAACGAGAAACTAACATCTATGATTTCTAAAATGGTAATATTGATAATGGCAACATTACAAGCGTCGTTATTGCTCCGCTCCGGCTTGTGGGCTTGCTGTCATTAATGTCAAAGAAAAATAAGCAAGCAAACTGTTCATAAACCACGAAATTGCGTTTTCTATAAAAATTATAAGATAAAACTAGGGAGTTAATTAATTTTTTGATATGAGTTAGCATTTATAAAGCTTACCACTGTGTTACACTGGCCAGCAGTGTAACTATTTTGTGTTCTAACTGAGTGTGTGCATAAACAGTTATAATGGCAAAAGCACAAATAAATACGAAATCTAGCAATTATATTAAGGACAGGGAGAGTTTTATGAAGGAGTTGAAGCAATTCAACGAGAGTAAAAAGTTAGTATAACGTTTCTATGAGCATATTTGGTTGTGTACACCTTGCCTTTAATATAACTTATTTACGTTGGAATGTTTGACCATTTAACCCTTATCATCTAAATTCTCATTAAAATAATTAGATAATATTACGACTTGACTAATAAACTAACAATAAAGTTAAAGTCGTTGTGATAAACTTATTAGAATTTGTATATTTGTATATTATTAGTTTCAGTTGACACTACAATGTTTATTTTTATTTTTTCAGTCTACCAACAAAAGTTCCAATTGTAAATGGCATAGAATTAGATTTGTACTTGTTTTATACATTAGTACAACAGCGAGGAGGACTTGGGAAGGTGAGTACTATGCAAATTGTACCTACATACATGCCATAAATGGGTTTAGTTGATGATACATAATTTATATTCTAAAAACTATCTTTTATTAACCTTTATTCGAAACTCAGGAGTTAATTGGATTTCAAAACATGTTGCAATTTTATCTGTACTAAAAATCTAATCTAAAAATGTTAGCTAAAATAGGAGATGAGTGGAAGGAGGGCAGGGAGGTCTTTGCCCTGCAGTAGGATGACTATAGCTAAAAATAGGTGTAATAAATAATAATAAAAAAAAATTAATGTTGTTGCAATCATGTGTATCAATATTTGTATTTTCATAGAGAATAGAAGTGTAAAAATAGTGAATGTTTTTTTTGTGGGATATCAAGCAAAGACATTACATGATGGTAAGCAATCGATGTTGTTCATGGACACCTGGGACACAATTCAAGCGTTGTTTCACACTGTTAGGCTGTGGTATCACTATCATCGAGCCCTCCATTCATGCTAAAGCATGGCTCTCCCACACATAAGTCTGCATGTTATTATTAACTCTGTAATATAAACAAAGTTGGAGATTTTGCTATTTAAAGTGGTTAAGTTACTTTTTTTACTAGTTTTTTTTTTATAAAAACTCCCAAAGTTCTATTTTTAAGTATTCCGCTACCATAGACAATAGACAGATTTTATTCAATAGTAGCACTTGTAACCATTACATCCTTTTAATTTCCTTGAATTATTTATATTTCAAATTAAACCTGAATGAAATATTTTGAAACAAACATTTATGAAATTGTTTTGATTCACAGGTAAATCAAAATGACACTTGGGAATCATTCCTGCGACCTCTGCGACTACCACATCCATGCATCAATGGTTCCACACTACTCAGACGGATATACGGAACTTATTTGGAAAAGTAAGAATATTTTTTATGAATAATGATAAAATTAAATTTATAAGAATTATTTAAAAAATCAAATATGGAAGAAAAAATATTTATATGGAAATTTTTGATTAGTGTTACTGAGAATTCATACATATTTAAAATAATGTTGACTGTACAGTTGGTGCGGTGGCTGGGCAACCAGCTGTCGTGCAACGAGTCACAGGTTTAAATCTCGCATGAGGCATATGAAATTGTGTGTTTGTAAATGCTCCCATGACACAGAAGGAATCTTTTCTTAGCATATTTTATAAACATAATATTTACATTCCATATGATGTGACTAGGTACGAAAGAGCAAAAGGTCCACCAGGCAGGGATGACGACAATGATATGGATGAGGATCCTCGACGCGGTCGCGGCGCAATGCCACGCATATCCTTTGCTGGGGGTACGTACATATCAGGTATGTTTCAGACTGAAACATATTGATATCTTTGCTTATTCTTCTCTTTATTATTTATTTTATTAATTATTTTTTTGTTGACTCATGATTGTTATAAGTTCTAATTTTGATATCTTACTAGACCATAGGATTCTAGACAGAAGGACTATATTTCAACTGCACCCTAACTGTTTATTTGCAACCAAGTGCAGCCTAGATTCAAACTCAGGCTGTTCGACTGTCTGGATATAGGGTGATGTTTAGTCAGTAAGAGACTGACACTCCCTCACTCAAGGCGAAAGAATTCATAGGATGGTTTTCCCTTAAAAAAAAGTATAGACTTTACCTTCAAGTGTAGATCTTACCAAATCGAAACAGAGTTGTTAAAAAGCATAGAATTTCTTTTAATTCTGTGTTCATTCTGTCAAGTTACTGAATCCAATCATGAGTTGATAAATACAGTAAAATGTCTGTAAGCTGAGCCGGAGTAACTAGAATTCTAATATTTGAAAAATTATTCACCTGAAACTCAGCTCTAAAACTAAAACCATAAAAATGTTATTTTAAGGTTTAGCTTACGGAGCATTCTACTATAAAGCCAAGAATACACTAAGGGATAAATGTCTGCGACACGTATCATCGACATGTCTGGCAACATCAACGTCACTATGGACATTATCCCCGCATAAACCAGGCGATATCAGCTGGTTCCGCTCGACATGTCACCGATACATGGCTTAGGACATTTGTCCCTAGTGTATCCTTTACTTAATTGTAGCAAAATTAATAAAACTATTTTTGTGCAAATTTTTTGAAAGAATAGCCTAATATAATTCTTTCCTTTACTATTTTTTTTTTTTGCTTCTTGTTGTTATACTATAGTAGTTAGAGGTTCAAGGACTTGGTTGTAACTAACCATTATTTGTTAACTCGCACCTTTCTTGGCTACGCACAAATGCTCATTAATGTATAATATTTTTTTTACTTTTAATTACACTACACATTGAAATATAGCTCTTATTAGAAAGTAGAAAGAGAACACAATAAATATATCAATCAATATCCTTTTTTTCAAAGGCCATGTCAGTAGTGTAATTGGATGATCTATTCATTCCTCGTAGAATTTTTTGTATGTTAGACTCGGCACCCACTGCCTTTACATTCTGCTGCAAGTCCAGCTACACTGCCATGACTGCTACACAAGTTACAATCTTATTTCAACTAGCTTAGCAATCATAATTCCTTGACACAAAGTGATTGCGAAATAAAGTAACATGAACACTAAACTCATTCAAATAAGATTCAAAATAACTTGATTAGTAATAAAATTCCTTGACATGCCAATGCCATACCATGCCGAGCCGGCAGTGAGCGCCCTATACACAACACCATACATATAAAAAATACGGCAGTAATTTGTCTTTTAGTTAGTATTTAGGCAATATTATTTATCGGCATCTAAGCATCAGGTGAGGCGTTACGGACGGGGTCGCGCGTGGCAGCTGCATCGGAGCGATTGGCCCTCTCTCTCTTATCGCCGATGCCTAACGAACAAGATTTCGCCGTCAACGTGTGCACCGTATTGGCTGCCGACCACTCGAACAGACTGCCTTTGAGTTCTACACCGCACATTCTGGACTTCTTATTGGCTCATGCTGGCGTTTATAATCATTGTGAGTAATTGATACACCTATATAATATAGTCTGTAATTTTAGTCGTTTTGCTTTGTTGGTTGAGAGGTCGCGAGCGCGACTATCGACTTTGGATTCTTGAGTTAATGAACCGTCGAACTAGAGTTTTGCGTGCCATTTCCGAGTCGATCGAAGTGTTCTAATAGAACACTTGGGAATCTAAAATTAATAAGAGTACTTTTACATTTATATATTTTTTTAAATTGAGTAAGTCTGATAGCTGAGCTGGATAATGGGTTCCTTTTCCGGACTATCCAAGGTACGGTTATACGGTTTGCAATGCAAGCTTAAGTTTGTTCATATGTAATGAGTAAATTGGTCTCCTTACAAGAACAACATATACCTAACCAAGACTAAGCATCCACTGTTTACCAAAAACAACCTCTTTCACAAATACTTAAAGCATAACATCCAATAACAAATAAAATTCCTTTCAGCGAGTCTTCGCGATACAATCGGCCGCTCATACTACGAGGCTCGAGGAAGATATCCAGATGACTTCTGGCGTTTGAAAGCCGGAGGTGGCGGGGTCAAGGAACTGGCTGACGAGACCAAGTTCATGCAGCCAGGAGTTGAGCTTCCAGAGCTGATCGTTCAGGCCAGGGCAGCGTATAATACTCTTACAGATTGTCTACTGAGTGGGCCTGAAGAAGAAGAACCGGTCGTTGAGAAGGTCTATGATGATGTTAGCGGTGTAAGTGTAATACATTAATGGTTTTTTTAATTAAGATTCCCTTTTCGATACGAAACTCCTCAAAGCTTTGCATAGGCAACTCTATGTTAAAAACCTCCTTTGGAAAACGGTGGTAACGTGGTGTGTTCGAGCTAAAATTTAAAAATCGAAACCCCGCCCACGCTTCGCTCTAGCAGGCTCTGCGCTCGCGCCATCAGTCATCGCCAAAACGTTAAGCGAGTTTCATTAACTCCATACAGAAGTAAAAGTTCTTATTCAAGCAACTATCTTCTGTTTCCAGGACGTCTTAGAAGACTGGATGGCGGATCCATCAGAAGATGACCTTCTGTTCGCCCCGGAGTTGCCCGGCGGGGCCTCGTGTGTGTACACTCAGAGAGTGCTACAGATTGCCTCCATCGTGAGGTCATTGTCCTTCCACGATGAAAACGTTCAATATCTTGCTAAGAATTCTACTCTTCTCAGGTAAGTTAGTTAATTTTAATAACTATATAAACATTTTAACATATTTCGTCTTTTATAATTAACTACTATCGTGAGACATGCTAAATTAACTAAAAATCGTGAATTACTCATGTCTATCTCAGTATATTTCGTCTTTAATAAGGATCCTTTATAATATTTTACATAACACAAAGATGATTAAAGTGTCCTAAAATTCTGGTTGTTGTTATTTTATTAAATTTAGTAAATGAAATAGGTTATTATAAAAAAAAAATTAAATAATGATGTGAAATAATACTAAAACCTATTTTTCTTATTTCGATGGTACCTCAACCTTCATATATAACATAACATAACATCACGCCTTTAATCCCCTGAGGGGTAGGCAGAGGTGCATAATACGGCACTGAATGCCACTATACAATGTAACACCCACATTTCACTATTTATGTTATGAGGTCCATGTAATAGGGGGTGAGCCTATTGCCATATTCTGAGCACAGTTCCAGGCTCTGTTTTACCACTGAGAATTTTTTTTAAATCCTAATAATTATTTGTCCTACCGGGAGGCATCGAGGCAGTCAACCTTCTTAGTCTTACTTATATATGTTACAACACATTTAACTGGTTTTAACTGGTTATCGAGTATCATATATTATTTATTTGATGTCTTTGTTCCAGGTTCCTCTTGCTGTGTGCTAACAGTTGGGTCGGTTCTCTACGTCAGTCCGGACTGGATACACTCGGAAATGTATCTACAGAACTTATTATTAAGGTATGAAATTGATTGAATATTGTCACTTTCTGTTTACATGTAAATTTATTTTACACTAGCTTTTACCCGCGGCTTCGCTCGCGTCACAAAAGGATAAAAAGTAGCCTATGTGACATGAAGCAATACACACAGCGCCATCTATACCAATTATTTCGTTTTCCCTCGAGAATATCAAATTTTTCCGGGGTAAAAAGTACCCTATTATTTAATCCAGAATTCTAACTTCACGTCTGCAAAAATTCAAAGCAATCGGTTTAGTAGTTACGGCGTGAAAGTGGAACAAACAAATAAACTCACTTTCCGATTTATAATATTAGTAAGGATATAACCCTTTCTCATGTTTGTATAGTAATTTGGCTTATTGGCAAACGCAATAGGGTTGCTGACATTTTTTTTGTATTTCAAACATATACAAAATCGTTTAGTCGTAATGAACTATATAGTACCCAAAAGCTACCCAATATCTTGTTAAATACAAATTATTTTCTCCCCCAGGACCCGGCAACGTGCCTGATAACCCGCCACGTGCTATCCACTATCCAGGCGGCGCTAGTGTCGCAGGACAGGGCGCGAGTACTGGCCGCGCTAGAGTTGCTGAACAAACTCGCGCAGAATGAACTCAACGAGGATGCCTTGTTGAAGTCTTTGGAGGCTAAGGTAAGGGAGAAGTAGGAACCGGGTGGTTGCAGGAGTAGGAACAGGGTGGTTTTTAGTCAGTAAGAGTCTGACACTATCGAAGTTATTCGATGATTTTACCCCCTTAAAAATCAAATAGGTAAGGGACAGAATGCCATAACCCTCACTGTTACCGCGGCAGTCGTATACCCAAACTATGTGGCATTCTCTGAATTCTACCACCCCTGCTATTGTTGAATACTCCGAATTAGGAACTGCTAGCAATGCTTTCTGATAAAGTTGAACTGTTTTTATATGTGGTTTCCAACCCGCCTTGCAAGTGTGGATTATGATAAACATTTTTGATTGGCGCCGCCCATGGAATACCACCTGCCATACCAGAAAAGTTCATTGCGTTGCCGGCCTTTTTGAGGTTGGAATTAATTATTCCTATCCCCAAAGGTGAGAGAATTTACTGAAGGAAGCAAAATATTAATACATACATACATACATACATAATAATACATGTCTCTTGTGGGGTAGGATCTCTCATACCCCCATAAGAGACAGTTTATGGTCTCCTATGAAACGCCAATTGCTACAGGTCTTACATATTAATTGATTCTTTATTGACGCTTTCCAGGTTTACGCAGACGTATGCGCGCTACTAAGCCTGCGCGATATAATGGTGCTGGTATGTACGCTGGAGTGCGTGTACGCGCTGACGTCACTGGGGGACCGCGCCAGTGAGGCCGTGGCCAGGGTCCCCGGACTCATACATACGCTCGTATCTCTTGTTACTGTCGAGGTACGTGCATTATCCAACAAATAATAAATAGCATATTGTGTCAAAGCCTTTGCATTGTGTTTAAATGTGTTACCAGAGGAAAATAGTAATTTAATTCTTCCGATAATTTTCAATAACTTCAACCTTCTTATTTTGAAGTCGTTCTTCCGATAATTTTCAATAACTTCAACCTTCTTATTTTGAAGTCGGTTAATAAAAAACCTACTCATAAGTATGCAATCGCGAGTAACCTTATCGTAGTCAAACATATATACAGATGAAATTGAGAAGTTGATTAAAAACGGTTATAGCAAGCATCTCTACACTCCGTATAGACGTTAAGTTTAAGGTAAGATGTTAAAGTATAGTATTTGTTATCAGGCTCAAAGCTACGGTCCTCGCGCATGTATATTAATGCGCGTAGTGGAGACAGTGAGCGGCCCCAGCGCACTACAAGCGCAACAACCTGCGCAACATGCGCAACAACATGCGCAACTTGCGCAACACACACCGCATGCGCAAACTGACCAACATGATCGGCCGCCGCAACTGCATCATACGGTATGTTTATTAGGGATTTTTTTTACTTCGAAATTGTTTTTTTTTTATTAACAGGTACTAGAATCTTTATCAATTCGTATCATGTTGAGATAACATATGTAAAAATTAATGTTATATTAAAATATCTGAAACAGCTGTTCTAAAATTCTGAATGTCAAGGTATCCACAATGTTTTCTGTATTCAGAGTCAGAAGTCAGAGAATTTGACAATTGTCAAATACTTCTGATATTTTTTTTAATATTTTGCCATTACTAGATTTGGAAAAAATATGTCATTTACTATATTGATGACTGTTGATGAAGCGAAGGAGGTATGTAAGAATCGTAGCAATTGACGTTCTATAGTCTCTGCGTACCCCCATGAGAGATAGGTGCGAAATTATGTATGTTAATATGTATATTAATACATAATTTCACGTAATCAATATTAATCTATGTTTTGTAAGGAAATTCTGACCAAGACTGACGTCATAAAGTTTCATTTAATTAGCCCAAAATAAACGTTTTCCTTTAGAGCCAAACTCCAACAAAGTCCAGCGAGGCGAGTGGCGCGGCGCCGGGCCTGGCGCCCGTGTCCAGCCTGCAGCAGTCGCACCTCCAGCAGCGCACGGTGCAGGTGAGTGACGCCAAGGTGAGGGAACTACTACACTCTCTTTACTACTCTATAATAACCTCGCCTAACTTCAAATGACCCAAAGATTAGACGACTGCAAGGTTGCCGCGGTAGCTGGGCAACTGGCTACCACGCAACGTGTCGAAACTTCAATTGCATGCAGAACAACTCTTTGTGTGATCCACAAATAGTTGTTCCGGCTCTGAGTGTGATGTGTATTTGAACTTGTATGTTTGTAAACGCACGCACGATACAGGAGAAAATCCTAGTGTGTGTATTAGGAGTTTGAGGATCGTTGGGGATTCAGAAATTGGGGAGATTTGGTAAGGGGAGGGTAATTGGGCCTCCGGTAACCTCACTCACACGACGAAACACAAGCGTTGCTTCACGTCGGTTTTCTGTGAGGCCGTGGTATCACTCCGGTCGAGCCGGCGCATTCGTGCAGAAGCATGGCTCTCCCACACACCACACTCGAATGCCCGTATATGAGACACAATAGTAAATATATTGTGTCTCGCGTGGATCCACGTTTATACATACGACGGGTTAAAGTGGGATTCGTTATTTGAACTTAGACGAGGTTTCATTTCTATGTGCTAATAATATTAGGCTTGGCAAGTACCTAAGTAGTTCTGCTAGAGTTATAGTTAGTCGTTTGCTTGTATTTTGTTATCATCCGCATCATTAATAGGCCTTGTCCTTTTAATTTGGACTTCTGGCCTTCTCTTTATAGAAGGTATAGCTTTGCTTGACATTAATTTTCGGCTTCTACTTACTTATGTATTTTCTAGAAAACGTGTTTCAAACTTACGCCTGAATACTGAAATACTACTGAATTTTGAGTTGTATTTAAATATCGTGCTATCTCTGTCGTTTTACATAGAATTTGTAGTGACCGAGTTGTTCGTAAGAGCGTCTTAATTGTGTAGCATTTGAGTATTTGAACATTAAACAGTAAACGTAAAATATAATTTATTCAATAATATATTAATAGTACCTTTGCGGTCTTTAACATATCAATTTGTGCAGCATTATGGGTTGCCTATAGTTTAATTATTATTAAATAAAAATTGTGGGTTACTCACGTGAGTTTACAGATAAAAGCACTACTATTTTTGTTAATAGGGTACTTTCCTTAATCAATAATAAATTATTTCTACTGTTCAATACAGTAAAATATTGAAAAAAAATCACACTTTCATGAATTGATTTTATGATCACTTAGTTTTATTATATTTTCAACAAATAAGTATGCTGTTTGACGTTGATTTAACGTGACGTCACAAAACACAATCTCGTACAAAATTCATAGAAAACTGTCGTTTTTGACGACAGCTCGAGAAAAGTATTGAATTGACTAATTGGCAAGTAGCCAATTATTATCATTAGTAATTTGTTGTATTGTTGTGTTGACATCATTTCCTAATTGATAACAAAGCCAGTAGTTGACTTTTGTTACAAATTACATTATTCTTAATCAATCTGTACAACTAATAATGTAGGTTTCCATGTGTTTAAGTAAATAAATAATATGTCAAATGAATCCCAAAAATTGTAATGAAATAATTAGTTCCGTCCACATATAACTGTTTGTGCAGGAGAACGAGCACTTCGCCCAAGCGTGGCTGCGGTCTGCGTACGAAGTGTTGCCGGGCGGCGACAACAGCGCGTGCGAGGCGGCCGACGTGTACCGCCAGTACCTCGCCTGCTGCACCAAGCTGGCCCGCAAGGGACTCATCGCGCCCGCGCACTTCCCCAGGCTTGTCCGGTAACTGACACACAGACAACTTAACGGGCTCAGCTCTAGTTCATAGCTGAAGTAGTAACGGGGTGGTTTTTAGTCAGTAAGAGTCAGACTTTTACTTTCGATGATTTTCCCCCCTTAAAAAAAAAAATAAATAAAAAAAGAGTCAGACTCTTGCATCACATAACACTTTCTCGAATCACACAAGGCGAGAGATGTCATTGGATGATTTTCCCCCGATATAAACAAAAAAAGAATTAGTGAAATCGGTCCAGACATTCACCCGTGATGCGGTGACCAAGGGAATAAGGGATTCATTTTTAAATATATAGTAGTATTAAATCTTTAAAGAATTGGATTGTTTATCCTGACATAATCTTTTTACCCCTTTTTTTGACGGGGGAACATCATCCAATGACTTCTCCCGCCTGGGTGAGGCGAGAGGAAGTGTCAGACTCTTACTGACTAAAAACCACCCACCTACTCCTGCACTTCGAGCCGTAGCCCCTGCAACCTGATAAGTCTTCCTCGGCTCCGTATCGGCATCAGTCCTATTGGGCCCCATCCGTGGTGGTCTGATGGCTCCTCCTTAATCATTTTTTTACTCTGACGCCATGACTTCCAGGACGGTGTTCGGTGGCACAGTGGGTCCCAATACAGTGACGCTGTCTACTGGTGAGACTCAACAAGTATATATTGGCATCAGGTCGAGGGCATTACAGAATAGACCCAACCCTCCCGCAGGTTTGTATTCAACTTTCCTTACATAATATAATATTTTGTTTTTTTTTTAACATTTCCCCTCTCTGGGTTTTTCTCCTGCGTCGTGGGTGCGTTTAAAAACATACAAGTTCACATACACATGACACTCAGACCCGGAACAAAATCAGTTGATCACACAAAGAGTTGTTCCGTGCGGGAATCGAATCTGCGACACGTTGCGCGGCACCCAGTCACCGCGGCAACCGTACAGTCAAAGAACTATATTTATAAAACCACCTTTGGCGTCCTTCGTTTTTTTAAGTCTATTAAAGTACCTATTAAACCTGCAAACACTTTTCTGAACACAGGATCAAAAACAGTTTAACTAATCGCGTGATAACCGGGTACATACATCATACATACTAAGTGAGAAAATAAGAATATCCCTTTTTTTGGAATCGATTAATACATGTTTTGTTAACTTTTTCTTAGGACCCTCATCGCCTATACTGAAGGCACAGCTAACAAATAAGGCAGCGGCTGAAGCGAAGCCAGCTGTATCTCAACCACAAACGCAGGTAAACACCCACTTGTATAACAATTTGTATACTATTCACAGTTTCACAGAGTTAATAGTATATTATGTCGTGAGTTTAGACTCCTGTATGGGGCAAATATATGTTTTGTTCTACAAAGTTATCTAAGGTGTTTAGGGAACAGAGTAAAGTTTCCATAGATCGGAAAAGGAGAGTTTCCAACCAGGCGATGTGATAGTGCCAGGCAGGCTACAGTTGTAGGTTGAGCCCATCAGTTGTATACTGGAATTTTCTATCAGTGTAAATCTTGCGCGGAAACTTCACTTGCGCGATGCAAGATTTTATGACGTCATCTGTCGATTCGTCGACGAATATTCAATCTATGTCGCCACAAGCATCTTTCTAAATAATTTTTCAATTTGTATTTTTAGTCCAAAATATAAGTTTTATTGCCCAAACGGGGTAGACAGAGACGCATGTTGAATGTAACACTGACTTTTCGCTAGGGTAACATGTGCTACTGCTGCATGTACAGCTACTAAATATATATTATTTAAGGTATAAAGCCACATACACATATACACTTGAGGTGATATTTATTTTTAAAAAGTAGATTGTGTAATTTTATCTTAAGTAACCAAATCTACTGACAATAGTTTTGTTTACTGGTCGTTAGACCAGTTTTGATAACATAGCATCTCAATGTATAAACGCTAATACGCCCGAATACTGAAATGCTACCCAATTTTAATTTACTACGTTTAGTACTTAAATATCGTGCTATCTCTGTCATTTTATAGAGTATTTGTAGCGACAGAATTATTCTTGAGATTCGTCTTAAAATTGAGTGGCGTTTCAATATTTGAACATTAGTAAATTCTTAAGGTCACTATATTAAATCTGTAATACTATTCCGCTAGCCACAAGCACCGCCTACGACCACGCACCCCCACCTGTCTCAGGCGCTGGAGTCGACTCCCTCCAACACGACGCTGATCAAACATTTACTAGCGCACAAAGTAAGCCCCGCCCTGCAACCACAGCAAGTAAGTGCTACTAACAACACACTAACAATTAACATTTTTTTGCATATTTTTATATTTATTTATCTTTTTTTTATATTTCGTATAAAAAAGTAAGTAAGTCAAGTGAAGTCAAACGAGAGATATCCAAGCTAACGACGAACAGGGCTGCTTAAAAGTTCTATGCTTTTCACAGATACTCCAAAGAACGTATGTTAAAAATCGATTGTATACTAAAGATTATACATATACATGATACATCGTAGTATGTGACAACATGAAGAGTACTACCATAAATATGAGGCTCGATAAATAAACTATCCAACACAAAAATATTTTTTCAAATCATACCTCTAGTTCCGTACATTAGAGAGTTCAAAATACACTCTTTAGATTTATATTAGTATAGTATTTTTAGTATAGATTTTGGATTAAAATCGATTTATTAATTTTAAACGAATGTCTCGTCATTCTCGACATCACGTAGGCTAGGTTTGTATTAGGGAATAATGGGTGACAGGGAGTTACATGGGACTTGTAACATGAGTAGTGAAAAAGTTGGTGTTACGTGCATCCCTGCCTACTCTTTGAATAGGAGTGAATCAAAGTAAATAAACAATACATGAGTTACATAAGTAAATTAATTATTATGTTTTCAGTTTACTCACGTAACTGTTTGACGAGGGACTCGACTAGTTTCAAGCCACGCTAAGGGCTCATATACATGAGCGTCATTATACGACGTTGCTCATAAATATGGGCTCCTAGCGTGGCTTGAAATTAGTGATAACTTAAAATAATTTAGTTTTAACTTAAATTAAAATAACTTAAAATAATAAAAAGTTAGAACTTAAAATAATATATATAGTATAACGTAAATAGTTGTATATATAGCATAGTATATACTATGCTATATATACAACTATATATAGTTGATAAAGCATTTAATTTATTTAGGGCCGATTTTTCCAACGCCAGTTAATTTTATCAGAGGAATAACTTTGACAATTCTTTCACACTGAAAACGGTCAAATGTTAATTTTCACTTCTGGATGTTGCATTTTTAATGATATATATGTCTATCATATGTTCTTTTTATGTCATAGGAAAATAAAATGTGTGATGTGTTATGTTTAAATAGTGTGGACGGATTTTAAGGATTATATGTTAAAAGGTAGACGAGGTTTGCGGTGCAAAATTGTTGAGAAATTAGAGTCTTTATGAAAAAAGTAGACTGATTTGTTTTGTATACATTTGTGAACGATTTTTTGTTGTAATATTTTATTAGTTACCTTTAATTTCATTTTGTTTTTTGATTTCCTATTTTAAATTTAGATAATGCAGGTCGTGTAAACAAAGGTATAAACAGGATCATTCAGTAAATGATTAACAATTTGCATGATTGAGTTGATGATTTCTATAATAATGATTTGATGGTGACAAACTGTTGAATCTAGCATGTATTGTAGAATATAGAATATGTTTTTATCCGCCTGCGAAAGATGTATTATTTAGTTTAACGGTTCAAAAGGAAATTTACCATTTGAAGCGAATAAATGAAAAGAAAAGAAAAGCCAAAATATGTAAGTCATTTAGTTGCCAGCCCAAAAAATGTTTAAAACGGCAATATTGTCGATGGACTGTCAAATCCCTGTGTAAAATTATGAAAAAAAAGAAAATTGTCAGTAGTTTCTTGTTCTTGAAAAAGCTGGTGTGGAAAATACACCAGTCTCATCCTATACGGAATTAAGTTGTTATGTAGTATGTACTAGTAGTGGCAGTTAAAGCGGTGTAGTAAGGCATGCCGAACATAATACATAGTTAAAACTAACATAACAAAATAACTGGATTGATCTAGCATGAAGTTACGCTAGCTTATTTGTGAGCATGTATTTTGAGTTTTGGAACGTACTGTATATTATGTTTAGGAAAATTATTTAGTTTTTTTTTAATTATTGTATATTGACAGTATTTCTGTCTAAAAGATGTTGCGAGAGTCTAAAGGCCTGGGTTGATTCCCATCTTAAAGTATTTTGTATTCATCTTTTATTATTTTAACAATAATTCTCAGATAAAATAGTGCAAGTAAAATTGATAAACGATAACTTTTATTATAATAACTATCGTAAGACATATTAAATTAACTATAATCGCGGGTTACTCACGTGAATATACTGAGAAAAGCTGAGCAGCGTGCGCGATCGCTGCGACGTCGCGCAGCTTACTGGAGGAAGAAACCCTTTCCTCATGAGGAAGAACCCCTCTGTGGTTCGAAACTAGTAGAGCTTTTCTCAGTATATTCACGTGAGTAACCCGCGGTTTTAGTTAATTTAATAGATTTAATTGTATGCATTTGGGGTAGATAAAATTATAATATAAAAAAGCCCTGAATTTTGTTTACTCAATGGATCTATATTTGTATCTTAGTTAGAAATCAAATTGTTAAAAGCATCTTGCAGTTACTATTATTATGGATCTAAAACTATTCTGTGCTCTTTTTAAACTCAACTTGTATTAATATAGGTGGCACAAAGACAACAGAGTCAACAGCGAGCGCCTACAGCGACCCCAACCACAGTTGTGGTACAGAATAATCAGGTAAATATATATTTCGGCTTGCCCCAGCTTCGCCTGGGTGCTATTTCGTTATGGTTCTGACAAACTTTGTCCTAACGATAAAAATAATTATATAATTCGATGCAGTCATTCGACAATTATGGGCGTATATGCATGTTGATGATACATTTTTATTAATATAGATTAATACTAGCGCACCCGACAGACGTTAAATATATAAACAAAAATCCATTCAAATTTGTTCAGCCGTTTAGGATAACTAACCTAGACACCGACTGCAGCTCCATCTGCCGAGTTAATTTGTGAATCTAAACCATCCAGGGCGGCACTCAAACGCGTACAGAAAAAATCATTTAAATCGGTCAACCCGTTTAGAAGTTCAATGACATACACACGTACAGCAGAATTATATATTATATAAAGAAACGTGCTACGAAGCGAGAAAAGAAACAAGCTTAAATCCATGAATTAATATTTACTTTGATTTTATAGCAGCAGGTAATGGATGTCGACCCGGAAGCTTTGATCAAGTGTACGACAATAACACCCGGCGGTGTTGCCAGTAGCACGCCCACAGATAAGGTAAGAATAATATATTTATTTACATTAAATAAGACTGCAGGCGAAATGAAAGATAAAATTATTTACTGTAAAAATGTAATAATAATATTTAGGACTGCCCCATTGGCCGATTCGTCGCAAATGCGCCGGCGTTTCGGGTTCGATTCCCGAGTCCGGCAAAGCATTGCACTGGGTTTTTAAAAAAAATTCAGTAATAGCACGGAGTCTGGATGTGTGCCCGGTATATGGCAATAGGCTCACCCCATGGGACTTAAATAGTGAAAAGTGGGTGTTACATTGTACAGTGGCATTACCTAAGTGCCGTAATGTGCACTTCTGCCTACCCCTTCGGGGATAAATCGCGTGATGTTATGTATTTAGGCTCATTGGCCTAGTGTTAAAATATGAATACTAAATATTATTTCTTTTTAATTATTTTTACAGGTCCATACACCAGTTGAAGAGCCCATAGGTAATTATAGCCACTGTTTATTTTTTTATATTTTTTTACATGGCGTTATAATATTTTTTATATTCCATAATTTCTAAGTAAATGTTTTAATCAATTTATTTATTATGTTTTCATTTCAGTACCCAAAGAAGAACCTGTACAAATTCAGATCGATGAACAAACACAATTGACAATTGTAAGATATCTATTAATGTTACATCTTATATTAGCTTCGACTAAAAAAATATCATCAATGAAAACTATCTGTTTTCTTTCAGAAATCAGCTCAAAATAAGATGCTAGCAGACTTACTAAAGAAAAACTCCAACCCTCCATTGCAAGTCGTTCAAATGGGCCCTCAAATCAACGCGCCAACCATTCAAATAACAGAAACAGGGCAAATCGTTCAGGTCAAATCTGACCCGACCCCAGTCATACAAATAAATGACTCGAGCCTTGTAACACCAGGAAACCAATATTTTCAAATAAAGAACGAACAGGGACAACTCATTCAAATAAAGAATGAACAGGGGCAAATCATTCAATTAAAAAGTGACCAATTACAAGCTCCGATTTTGCAGTATAAGAACGAACAAGGACAACTCGTTCAGGTCAAAACTGAAAGTCAAGTTCAGATAAAGCCTGAGAAGGAAGAGGTTCCTTCAACTGATCATTCGTATAATGAGCCACCAGCTAAGAAAACTAAGGTGGAAGAAAAGGTTGGTTTTTGTTTTTTCACCGTTTGTTTGTTTACATACTCAAAAAAGTGAAGAGTTTACGTTGGTCGAGTTGGTCGCAAGTGTGACATCCGAGTAAGGCGCCTAGAGTTCGGTTCATGACTAGACTACCAAGCTTTTTTTATGGAACAAGCCGGTAAACTAGCATACGGATCACCTGATGGTAAGCAATCGGCGTCGCCCGTGTACACCTGGTACACCAGAGACGTTATAAGTGTGTTACCGGCCTATACAAGTGCATTACCGGCCTATGCGGTAATGCACTTGTATAGGCCGAGAATAGTCTCGGTTTCCAGTCCCAGTTTGGGCACAGTATAATTGGGTATTTTTGAAAATGATACAAAATCTGGAAACAAAGCATTTTAACGAGGTCTAATCACTTTATTTCTATCAAACTTTTAAGGCCCAGCCGCCGCAAGAGAGTGTATCAAAAACCGCGGCGAATCTGTATGCCGCTCTTGCTGCTTCGGCTTTGGAAGATGAAGAGGATTTGGTAAGAAAACACACTTATTACTTGATTATATAACTATTGAAACACACTCAACACATTTTTTTAAAAGCGTAACGATGGACTTTCTATCTCTTTTCTACACTGTGGAACGAGTGTCTAGCTTCACTGACTGACAGACAGACGGACGGACAGACAATTCAAATTTGACGTTTCTAAAGTGCTTAATTAAGAATTAATTGAAATAAATGCTTTGATTTTGACTTTGCTGACATTTGAAAGACACAAATTATCATAATTATTATTATTCTTTTTGACATTTCTTTTTAGGGTAGCTAGTCTTATAATTAGTAAATTGGGCTTCCATGAGATGGCACTAGTGAGACAAATATTTTATAGTAAGCTATACTAGAACCTCTATTGACAAGAATGCCATTATCAGATTGGGAGGATCCTCCAGAAAATAGTTTTGAACTTAAAACAAAAATAAAAATATTTTGTGTTGTATCTAATCTAATAATATATTGTTTATTGCAGTCTGTCTGTGCTTTCTAAACTCTTCTAATTGCACAAGTTCAACTAAAACATGTGTTTTTCTCTCACAAATTAACATAATAATAACTTCTGTTACTTATTATTTTATACTAACTAGCTTTTGCTATGCTTTTTCTTCATTCAATGAAAACTAATCGTATATATTTCCTTTGCCTAAATAAGTCCTACAAAAATGCGCACTATACAAATTATTTGCTTCACAACTTCACATAAACACTTATTGTTCCTAATACATATTACTAATACCAGCTTACACTAATACGAAGCTTATATTAAAAATGTATATAATTATCTTCATTTCATGTCTGTACGTCTAAAGCGACCACACGGATTGTTATTGGGAGCACTGCGAGCCAAGGTTTCATACTAACTCTTTTTTATTAATTAAATAATAGGGATGATGACAATAAAAAATCTGTATTATAATTTTCGTGAGACATACTAAATAAATTATTATGTTTTCGGCTTACTTACGTAATTATTTGATAACTCGACTAGTTTCAAATCATGTTAGAGGCTCAATTCATGAGCAGCATTCCGCGACATGCGATGCGGCGACTGGCGCGCTGCTACTGCAGTAGCTAGTCGAGTTCCTCATCATATAATTATGTGAGTTAGCCGAAAAACATAATAATTAATAAAAAAATCTGTTTAATCCATCAGGTAGGTAATGAAAAAATGTTAGACACGTTTTTTTTTAATTATGTCGTATATAAAACAATTCTTAGATAAAACGAATCGGATGAGTTAGGAGTGGGAGCTAGCTACGTCATTTCTACGCATAAAACGTACATAGAAATGACGTCACGCGATATTTGAAATATATCGTTGGAAGCATTTGTTTCCGTGAGAAAATAAAACATACGTGTCTAATGTTTTACAATAATTTACCAGACGGACATTAAAATAAAAATGAGTCATCTACCGTATTATTCTTACTAACATTATCACACTTAATGCATGATCTTTCAACTGCCTCGTTAGTCGGAAATTTGATCAAAGGAATATAATCTATTTTCATCTAAGAAATTCTTTCCTTAAGACTCAGTGGAAACCGAAAAGGGTGCGGCGAAGATACTGAGAATAAATTTGACTGCACGGTTGGTGCGCAACGTGTGATCGATTCCTACACGGGCCAACTCTTTGTCTGATCCACAAATTGATCAATCAAATCAATCATATTAACACAAAAAAATGTGTCTGAACTTCTAAGTTTGTAAAAGCACCCACGACACTTGAGAAAATCCTAGTGTCGGGCAAAGTTTTATAAAAAACAAAAATAAACAATCAAAAATAAACCTTAACTACTATGTCATACGGATAAAAATGGCTTGCCAAATCCATGATCGATTCTTACTCCTAAGTATCATATGGCATATGGCTAAATCTGTGCCCGATGTATGGCAATAGGTTCGCTCTCTAGTAAATGGCAATACTTGGGTGACTATGTGTGATGTTTTTTCTATATTTTACTTAGTAAATGTCATATCGCATGCTATGTATATCTTTTCATTATACTATACATATTACATATACATACCTTTTATATGTCATATTATGTATGTATATTGCTTAAAAATATTAAATGTTTAGTTGCATGATTATAATATGAATAAAAGGGCTTGTTATTAGAATGCTTTGCAATATTAGCTCTATTTTATTAGAACACCATGTTCGTCCAAGCATGTTGCGTTCAATACAATGCATGTTACAGTTATCTGGAAGATACCCTGAGGGCTTATTGCGATTTATTATTGTTAACGCGATTAAAACATCACTGCGTTTAGACCTCTGATTGGTTGACTTATTAGAGCTGGCCAATCAGAGCGCCGAACGTCATCAACGTATCGACCGCCTTAGCATAAAACAAAAACGCACTAGGCCTTCTGGTGTCGACTTGGTTTCGCAACCACGACGACCGCATCAACTCTAGTGTTTGTTCTAGCGTCTCGATATAGATACTACGGTTACACAACTAATCGTCAGACCATGGTTGCGACTATGATATTCTAATGAAATAAGGTTTTATTTCTACACAGCATATGTAAACAATTTTGAATTTAGTGGTAATGGGAAAAGGGTCAAAAAAGGATGCACGATACCTATAAATTGTGACAGGAAGTCAAAGAGAGATAATGTAGGCACATTTCAATGTTTTGGAAAACCTTTATAATATTTGTTTTTTGTATTATGTATTTAGTTTTATTCATAGTGTAGTGAGTGTTTAGTCTTAGTAGTAGCATGTAGAATAATGTTAGCAGTAGTTAGTTTATTTAATAGATATTTTGTTGAAATAGCTCCCGCCGAAACAGGATCCCGTGGAAATGATTCAGCCCTCAGTTTTGGTGTCAACGACCGGTGATAATTCTGTAATTATACAAGAACCTATGCTTCAGGTAAGCTTTCTTTAGAACTTCACGCTTTCTATTCTAAAGGGGTAGGTTGTCCCATCCAATTTGTATCGCATGCTTCTTAACGTCGAACCGATTGCCATACCCCTAGTATAATTTAGATTACCTATTATATTAACTATTATATAATATTAACCTTAAAATTATTATTTCCAAATCGAACTTGAGATACAATTTTCGACCTACGAGGCAGTTGTTTACATGATAATATTAAATCGTACTTACATTTATCATTACGCACAGATTTTCTCCTGAGTCGCGGACAGATTTGCACTTTTACAAACATAGAGACCCGTCAATTCGTGGGGCACACATTCACAATACGGGAGAAAACATGTAGTTTATACCATAATCCATTTCCCACTCTGTTTTACGTATCTTTATGTACTTTTCATAACACCTAGTGCGAGATTTTTTTACCTCAACGCGATCGTAACTTTAACACGTTTAGCCCTCTGATTTGTTGGTTAACTATGAACAGCCAATCAGAGCGCTGAACGTCATAAACGTGTCGATTGCGTTAGCCTAAACAAATAAATGTTAATTTATGTCTCGCAGTAGGCCCTCAGTACTTTCTTTCATCTTTCTTGCTTATTTAAGTTAAATAATTTTGTTTATTATTTATTTAGGTTCAGCCGCCTCCATTGACGGTACAACAGCCCACACTGCAAGTACATCAGCCTACATTGCAGGTGCAACAACCCACGTTGCAGGTCCAGGCGCCGACTTTACAAGTAGGACTTTATCTTAGTAAAAATATTTTTCGGAACCGGTCGCCGTCGGTCGTCGTCGTATTGTATAAACCAATTATAGTCGCATTATCTATTTGTAAGCAATTAGCACCACACGGATACCCGCGGTACCATAGGAGTTATGCCGGAATACTGAAACGTTACTCAATTTTAAGTCGTGCTTAAATATAGTATATAGTTCTATCTCTACAAATTCTTTGTAAAATGACAGAGATGGCACGATATTTGAGCACGATTTAAAATTGAGTAGCGTTTCAGTATTCCGACATTAGCGACGTATGTGCGTAGCCAGTCTTTGGCGGAAAAGGGGGAACGTAGGGCTTGGAAACTCTTGACTTTTATTTCTCGAAGAGGTTGGCAGCATTATTTAGCATTATTACACCAGCGTGAGATCAATGCAGCGAATATATTACGAACTCGTCTCCCACTGGGGTAGGCAGAGAGGCAATGGAACACCAAAAAGCACATCATCATCAACAGCCCATAAATGCCCACAGCTGAGCAAAGCCTCTTCTCACGCGTCTGATAGGTCTGTCATTACGGAGCCGCGGAAGACTTAACGTGTTACCGGGGCTCCGCCTCGAAGTGCAGGAGTAGGAACTGGGTGGTTTTTATTCAGTAGGAGTCTGACACTCCCTCCCGCCTCACCCGGGCGGGAAAAGTCAAAGGATGATGTTGCACCCTCAAAAAAAGGTCCTTATTAACATTTGAAACATAGTAACGCAAGTCAATGTCCACAGCAGACGATACAAGTACAGCAGCCGATGTTGCAAGTACAGCCCATGGAAGTACAGAACATTATCGCGTCACAGGCTGGCCAACTCATCTTACAAGGTAACCATTCACTACCTTCTTACATTGAACTGTTTTTAAATATTTTTTTTTTTAGTATAGCGTTTCCAGTGTATTGGTAAATGTAAAAATCTAAATTAAAACATATATGCTAACATAATTATAAATAGTGAAAAGTGGGTGTTACATTGTACAGTGGCATTGAGTGCCGAAATGTGCACCTTTGCCTACCCCTTCGGGGATAAAAAGGCGTGATGTTATGTATGTATGTAATTATAAATATTATAATACTAGCTTCTGCCCGGGACTTCGTAGGTACGTTTTCTCCCGTTCCCGTAGGATTTTCAGGATTTTTTCTGTCTGAAGAACCTTCTCCTAATAATAACAAATACAACAAAAAAAGAATTAGTCAAATCGTTCCAGCCTTTCGCGCGTGATGCCGTGACCAAGGAAAAAAGGGATTCATTTTTATATATATAGATTTGCCACGTAATTATTGTTTGGTCGCGAATGAGGTTAGCTATATACTGTGGTCCCGGTTTTTAGTCGATCAGAGTCTGACAACTACCTCCTAACCGCCCAGGAGTTGTTTGAAGTCTCACATTCTCAAATAAAGTAGCAGAGATTTGCTTCAATGCGGTATGAGATAAATACTGATTGTTGTATGAATACGTTTTCAGAAAAATCTATATCTTCTCAGCCGACTCAGTTTGTGCAGCAACCTATGCAGATTATTGCTACACCTAGCAACGCTCAAGGTAACTTCTTATATTATTAATATGCACAGTTAAACTGAGTTAGCTATATTTTGGTGCTTAATTTGTTTATTTAAGGGTAACCAACAAAACATTCACCAAAATACATGATAGGCTTTTTAACATATTTTAACAATTTACAGTGTATGTAGCCTTAATTAAAGGCTGCCACAACATGCATTAAACAAAGAACAGAATATTACAGCAAAAAGTTCATTTATAAAAAAAGACTCTGGCCGCGCTCAAAGGTCTCTTGGATTCCAATCCAACTAGTGATCTGTTTGCGGACGGATGGAAGGAGATTTTATCGGAACGCCTGAAGTACTGCGAGAGGAACTTATGAATGCTACCATTTTTTTAAATAAGTTTTACCCTTTGGTTCGTTGTATATGTTTTGTTTTAGTTTTATTGTTTGATCGTTTATTTTATTAATGTGTCCAGTTACTTTAATTGCTTTATGTTTTCAACCGTTGTGACTGTAATAAATAAATAAATAAATAAAATACTTGTTACATCAAAATTGTTGAATTATAGTTTTAATTGATAAATTGTTCAATTTTAATATGGGATTTAATGCAAAATAAACTCTATTACAGGTGGCATAAGCTACATAGCACAGAACATTCCCGGGAATATGATGCAGAAAACGATTATCATAGTCCAAGGACCGACTGGCGGGGGACCTCTTACTTTAACGGTATGTATTATTTTACTTAATAATGAATACAAACAATAATCTATTAATTTAAGGCCTTTATATTGTACAGCAGAAGATCCCTTATAGGGGAAATCTGTAAGATATTATTGGCAAGAAAAATCATTTTTATATTCATGACAGTTAGTATGTGTTAATTTCTCTTCACTTTTTAACTTGTGAATGGTAAGCGCATCATTGCGCAACGATGCGCAACGTTCGTTCAAGTCCAAAGAAAATCTGATAGACTTATGTTGTCTGTTTAAAAATGTGTTTATTAAACCAATGTACATTTTTATAAAAATATGTTAAATTACTGTTTGGTTTTTAATTGGCATTGCGCGATCCGCGTTGCAACATTTGTAGCGCTAAAATAGTTGCTAACTTTTAATGCGCTCGGCGATCTAAAAAGGTTCTAAATCTAAATGTTATGACAAAAAGGTGAACAACCCAGGCGGCCTGGACGAAGCGACGCTTAACAGCCTTATTACGCAGGCAACAGAGGCGATAACGCAACAGCAAATTATACAGGTTACCTTCAAATCAAGTAGCTAACACAGTTTGATATCTCTCCTTATAGTCGGTCAATGAACTCGCGCAACATAACTTATACACTTTTATACCAAATAGGGATGATGCTTTAGTCAGAAATTAATATTTTTTAGTTTTCAGTATCCAAAAATAAGATATTCTCATTCATTCATTGATTTAATTTCAACCATAATGAAAAACTCTTATTAAGTACTTTTATTGTTTCACATAGGTCAGTGACGTAACATAATAATGACGTCACTAATCGGTATCCCGTAGAATTCAATACAAAATTGCGGTTCGTATTAAATAGCTACAATTAGCTTGTCCCATTTGTTCGTTTGGGTCAAACTTTGTAATTGGCATTTCACCGCCTTCGTCCCGACAGAACGGTCAGATATTTGGTGCACTATTAATCTTGATGACCATACAATAAAATAATATATTTTTTCCACAATTATCTCCATTATCGATATCAAACTAAATGGCTTGATTGTTACAATATAGCTCAGTAAAAAAACATTAAAAGTATTTTGTGTTAACATAACATAACATCACGCCTTTTATCCCCGAAGGGGTAGGCAGAGGTGCACATTATGCCACTACAATGAAACACTCACTTTTCACTATTTATGTTATGAGTCCCATTAATAGGGGGTGAGCCTATTGCCATATACCGGGCACAATTCCACACTCCGTGCTACTACTGAGAATTTTGTAAAAACCCAGTAATACTTTGCCCGGCAATCGAACCCGAGATTCCTTGCACTTGCGATCACTCGGCCAACGAGGCAGTCTTTTGTATTGTTATTGATTTGAGTATTTTGTGTTACTTGTTCATAAATAAAAAGTATTTATTTAGACTGACTATAAACATCCCTATGAGGTGAACTAACTCACTCATGAGTTGATTTTTCAAAGTTGTTGTAGTGTTGTTTTGTCGACTATTTGGAGTAGTGTGGAACACTGTGCTAATGCTTCAACTCATACTAATAGTTGCGGTTGCATAGCAACTTTGGGTTCTCATCAATTAATAATAAATACCATTTTTCCCTTTCTTTTTTCGCTTTTTTGTGGTCTAACAAGCGTTTTCCAGGTGATTTGGGTCTTGTTTCTAATTTCTATAGGATTTTTGTTCAAACTTTTCTATTGAATGTAATTTTTTTTCTAAATTTATTCAGCGTCTTTATTACTGTACCAGTAAATGAACGAATGATTTTATATAAAAAAAAACAAGAAAATTGTTGCATTAAACACTACAATCAGTAAAAATATCAAAATTATTGATTTTAGATTTGAAAGAAAAATATGGGATTTTGCACGTTTTTTTTATTATTGTTTTGCGTGTAAATTCGGATCATCAAATCACAATTATTAACTCAATCGCCGCTTTACTAACTCATGGGTTACCAAATTGTAGATTAAGTATAAAGAATGTAATTTTATTTTGCTAAATTAGGTAAGTTTATATGTTTGTAAGTAAGTACGATTCAACTGTATTATAATATAAAGCACACTAATAAAGCGACGAGATATGCAAGTAAGTATTAACAACTAGGGGTCGATTTTTACCGACTTCATTTAATCATCAGTTAATTCTTAACTTTAGAATAAAATTGACAGTTGAAAGTTTAGTATGGAAGAATTGTCATATATTCAAAGTTATTCCGCAGTTACAATTTATCTGACATTGGAAAAATCGGCCCTAAAAAATATAAAAATGTGTACGTATCCAAAACTATAAAAAAATCAAAGCACAGACAGAATGCGACACTTTGACAAATAAATATAAAATTATAAAAACATTTTTTTTTTATTTTAATAGATATCTCATACTATAACTGTAGTTTTTGTGTGGATATATATATACTCAATCGCACCCAGGCCCAGAATGATAAATTTGTCGAATAGCATTTTGAACTTAAAGTTTGTTGAAATAGAACTTGGATGTGATACAATCTTACACAGGTGTTGTGAAACCCAGAGTAACAATTTGTTGAGCAATTATCACTATAAATAGGATTTTAACCTTAAAGTTTGTTGAAATAAAGGTGGTTATCGCATAATTTGGGTGTGATACAGTCTACAATGTCTTCATGGATAAATAAAATACCACTTTACACCCAGACACAACAAAAACGTGTTGAATTAATAAATAGGATTTTAAACTTAAAGTATGTTGAAATTAATTTTGTTATCGCAAAACTCAGGTGTGATACAGTCTTACACAGAAGGTGTTTTGAAACCCAGAGTAACAATTAGTCGAACAATAACCGCTATAAAAAGTATTTTGAACTTAATAGTTTGTTGAAATAAAGTTGATTATCGCATAATATGGGTGTGATACAGTCTACATGGATGAATACCACTTTACACCAAAGTTCAACAACTAGTCGAACAATCAACATCTAATCACATAAAATGAGATTTTGAACTTAAAGTTTGTTGAAATAAAGTTGGTTATCGCAGAACTCGGGTGTGATACAGTCTACACAGAGGGTGTTGAGTCAGCCTACGTTAGTGAGTACTTCGCAGGCGATCACAGTGGTGAAGAGCGTCCTCGCACAGGTTTCATGCACAGAATATTATAAAATAAAATATTTAAGCTTTAGGGACAGGTTTTTGGTTCAGAAGATGGTAGATTTTTAAAGAAAATTAAACCTTTTTAAATATTTTGTAGTGTTTTAAGAGAGTAAAGTGATCATGGCAGAGTTTTAAAGTTCTAAATTATGTATTTGGTGACTTTGAAAGTAGTTTTCGTAGGTTATTTTTTTATTGTTATTATGTAGCTTATGTCATTTGAAATTTGATTCTACGACAGTAATTTACAAAGGTTACTGTTCCATAATTTATTGAAGTAATCGTACAATTACGACGTACGAAAAGATGAATAAAATTAAGTTTAAATTCTACCGATTATATAATATTGTTTTATAAGTTTACAAATTATAAAAGTACTCGATTGGCTTTCTTTTAAAACTAGGCCGCCATATTGCCAAAATCCACCGTTAAATTTACCTAAAACCTGTCCAAGTAGGTTGATGTCACTGTCAATGTGCATGAGTACTTTGAGGATAGCTACAAATACTATATCCTTAGAAATTACCATAATATAGTAGAGAACAAAAAGAACATACTGTATACAAAATTTTCCTTCTGTGTTGCTCTTAGGCATGAAATGCTGCTCAAAATTAGACTCTGTGGCTTTACTATTATAGCTCAAAGTACACTGATGTATTATGTAACTTAGGTCCTTTAGCAGATACGTTAGACGTCGTGGTAGCTTGGAATTGGTAACTGGTCTTCTGTACTTATATATATTTAATATCTATACATATACTTTCATTGTGTTTACTTATGTCTGCAATTCTGTATTATACTGTATATGAATGTGTATATTGCTTTCTCTGTTTCTACTAAATGATGGTTTTCGTGTTAAAATAGTTTCTTTGTAAGGCTTTCGATTAATAAAGTAATTGCTAATGATGCTCAAATAATAATATTTATAGTGATTAGCGCCATCTAGTAACGCAATAACGGAAACCTTCATCGCTTTATAATGTACTTACTCAATTCAATAGAACGTGTGACAAAATGTGAAATTATATTTGTTATTATTATTCGTCCTTTTATTTGCTCCTAGGGATTGCTTAAAATATGTTTTAAATATGATTTAAACCTTTTGTTGCACGTTGTGTAAATTCTCATCGACGACCTCTGATTTTTGAAAAGATGATGTCATTTCGAACGAAAAAGTTTGAAATATGAAGAAACTTGTGTTGATAGCATTTGTAAATTATTCAACACGATCAGCTTGTTCATGGACAGCCCTTTGCCAATCTTGATGTACTATTTGAACGGTCATCTTTTTGAAATCGAGTTCGTGTATTAATTTTCCAACAAACTTGAAACACATTTAAATGTAAAAAAAAAAAACGTTTCAAGCTTGTATCTAAACGTCATAATGTTTTGCGAGCATTTTTTCATAGACGTCATAGAGTATTGCATTTCATAGACGTCGTATTTGTAAGCGAGCATGGTACCGTAACATATATTCAATAACAACATCATATTTTTCATCGAAACTGTTCATTCTATGTATATTTTCCTTACATCATTCTTATAGTAACTTCATTCTGTATTATTCTTTGTTTGTAGTTCATGTTGACTGTTTAGCCTTAAATCATCATATGTTGCTAAATATCTAAAATTATTAATTATTGTGTTTTACGGCTTACACACGTTACTGTTTTGGCGAGGTAACTCGTTTCAACGGCTTTGAGTATCCACGTATTCACGTAATTGTTTAGTAAGGTAGCTAAACTAGTTTCAAGCCATTCTGGGGCTCATATTCAGAGAGTTTGCGTCGTTCACCGCATCTTGTGTCGAGCAATGCTCATGAATATGCTAGCGTGGCTTAACCCCTCGAGCGTCCTTATGAGCACCTGGTGGATCATAAGAAAAAATGCTCCATGCTGCTTTCTCTTTTATAAAATCTATTATTAATGTATTGTTTTTATTTTGACTGTATTTTTTATTTCTATTGTAATGATTCTTGTTTTCGTGTGCCAATGGCCAAATAAATGCATTTTCTTTCTTTATTTCTTTCTTTCTCCGAATGTCACGTATGCACCCGTTGGATCATAAGGAACGCGGACGCTCGACGGGTTAAAACCTCGCCAAACAGTCAGCCAAAGTACTCAAGACACTTTAATGGTCAGTTAGTCGTCTCATATGAAAAAAATTGTTAGTAAAGAATAGTTTTAAGTAACCATTAAATATGTCCGAGTACGCCAGTAAGCCGTTAAACATAATTAAAATGCCTAACGAAAGTATTAATATATAATGGTGTTAAAATATTCGCAGAATACACCTCAGATTACTCCTAGTCAGCAGCCAATAATAACGAATCAGCCGCAACCACATAAAGCGCAGATCATCAACCCACAACAGACGCAACAAATAGTGGTCACACAGAAACAACCGCCGGCACTTATAAGTACTTCTAGTAGCAGTCAAATTGTTACCAGTACGGCGCAGATTATACAAGGTAACTTGTTTTTTTTTTATTATGATATTGAATATATGTATTTTGGTTTCTATTTTCCGTTCCAAAATCCTTATACTGTAATTTCGTCAAGACACTTCTAATACGTAACTAACGTCCAATTCCTGAAATGCTACTCAATTTTAAGTTGTATTTAAATATCGTGCTATCTCTGTCATTTTACAAAGAATTTGGAGTGATGGAACTAGTCTTTAGAACGTCTTAAAATTCAGTAGCATTTAAGTACTTGACCAGAAGAATAGTACCTAATGATTGTATGTTAAGTAAAGTAGTGTAAGATGGTTAACGAATAATTTCGTCAGGACCAGAGTAAAACCAAAAGCATAGCATGGCAAAATTAAAAATTATCAACATTTATAGATCACGATCTCCAACCAAGTCAAGGTTACAGATTATAGACCTCTGTTTCGTAGTGCCATAGTCTAGGGCAACAAACAAAAGTCTAGTGACTATGGCACTACGAAACCATCGAACATCGTTAATGGTAAAAAGATACGCGGTTTTGCAATATTCTCGGACGATTTGTTAAAAATTAATTAAGAAGCGTAAATTCTGTACATTGAAAATATTATAAAAAAAAAACTAAAAAAAATATTTTTTGTACGGTGTCGCACCCAAAAAAGAGATTTAAAAAAAAATCTGGTCTGTCTTATATGTTCACGCATCACGCAAAACTACCGGTGCGATACCGATGAAACTTTATATGATTATACTTTAACTGGTCGAGTACCGGTTTTATAGACACAATTAAAGAACAATAGGTCGCGGTCACCGGTGACCGCTTGGTGTTTGACAGTTTAATATCCCGGGCACAACATTCGGTTCTTTTTATTTTAAATATTTCTATTACACATTCAAGGCAACCAGCAACTCCTACAAGGCAGTCAGCAGATAATAGCAGTGTCTAATACACAACCTATCATAATGAACGCTCCTATGAAGACGAACGTGCACAGAGTGGTACAGCAACCACAAAGGAGTCCCGTAGTCACAAGCGTGCAGAGCAACCAAGTGTCCGTTGTTAGCGAGGCCAAGACTAGTGTCATACAGAGCCCGGTAAGTGGTATACTCGATTATTATATTTTAAGCGAACAGAAGAGGTTTTAATTTTAAAAAACAATATGGGAAATAGAGATAGAGATATATTTATTTGTTTTTGGTTATAATTTTGGTACAGAGTCTACATGTTTTGCCATTTATGGCGTACTAAATCAATCACTATAGGCAGACAATACCAAAATCTACAATCAATCAATACAAAATCAAATGTGAAACTTTAAATGAAAAAAATAATAATTGTAATGTAAATTAATAACAATAAAAATCATAAGTCAAAAGAAGTAGTTACATTTTATTAGATTATGCGAATACAATTTCAAATTAAACTTATCAACCGATGTTTGTTTTAAATAGGAACATACTAACAATAACTCAATATGAAAATGATAGCATTGATAATTAATATGAAAAATATAAATCTAACAAAACTTGACTGATTTTCCCGCTCCGTATGACAGCTCTGACAAAATGGCCGCGTTGGTTGTCCCGCGCTTTTTATAGAAAGTTCAATATGGAGTATTGGTCATTCCTAACAGAATTATATCTTTGTTTAAAAACTCACGTGAAATATGCGTTGACACGATCAGTGCTACCACGGGTATACAAAAGTTAGAAAGAAAGAAATTATTTATGCGGCACAAGACACGATGCACCAAAAGTATGTAAAAACCTATCAAACTTATATGAACAAAATAAAGAAATAATAAAAAAAGTTATAGTTTTGTTAATGTGTGTGTATGTTTGTTACTTAATCATGTCAAAACAGCTGTAGGGATAAGGTTTAAATTTGGAACAGAATAGTCGGAGGACAGGATAAAAGGGTTTACACATTCAATATTTTTTTATTATTATTTTGCAGAAGACAGCGACGCAGCCTGTAATGAGGCAGGTGATCCGTCAGCCTGTCATGGTCGGTAACACTAAGATCGGAGATAAAGAACTCGTTGTCAACCAATCTGTTGCTGAGGTAAATAATATTTAATGAAAATAAATAATTAATTAGATTTCGTCATTAAATTATGTTTTTCGGTTTGTTAATTTAACTGTTTGATGCAACTAGTTTGTTGCGCGAAGCTCGTCGCATCGTGTGTCTGTGAGTACCAAGCGTGGGGTGGGATGAAACGGATAGGGCCCAATAGGGTTGAAGCCGATTCGAATTTGCGGAGAACCTAATGGGTTACCGGGGACCGGTTCGAAGTGCAGGAGAAGGAACGGGGTGGTTTTTAGTCAGTAAGAGGCTGACACTCCCTTCTGCCTCACCCATACGGGAAAAGTCATTCGATTGAATTCCGCCCTTAAAAAAAAAGCGTGGCTAGAAACTAGTTGAGTTACCTCGTCAAATGCGTCACGAGAGTTATAAAACAAAATTACTTATTTTTCATCGGCACTCAATAATGAACCATACAATATTTGACACTAAGTTTAAAATCCTTCAGCCTCCAAAGCCGCCTACACCGAAACCGTCCCCTACCCCGCCCCCCGCGCCGGCGCCGCAACCTGCACAGGCCACGAGTCCTCAAGATGAAACGCCTTGGATATGTCATTGGAGAGGGTGTGGCAAGTAAGTGGACTGTTATTTATTATTATATTTGTCTTCCAAGGAGTCCAAAAAATAAAAAGAGATTATATTATCATTGTAGTCAATGATCCTCTTTTTTATTTTATATTTTGGATGTGCAAATGACAATAGCAAATGACCTGGTCCCACATGATTATGAAGGGGCCAGTAGAATACCATCGCAAGACCCTGTCTAGCACATGCTGAGTTCAGCCATCGGTCCCAATTTACCGCAGACATGGGACAATGATTTCATCGGCGTAACAATAGCTTAATTATAGAAAAAGAAAATGATAACAAAAATCCATACAACACGTACCTTAAAATGAGAATTTAACAAATTCAACTTTAAAGTTCAATATAATTAAAATATGTATATACAATTTTTAATAAATATTATGTTTTTGGCTGCCTCGTTCGCCGAGTGGTTGCAAGTGCGACTGACGGGCAAGGGATCTCGGGTTCGATCCCCGGGTCGGGCAAAGTATAACTGTGGTTTAAAAAAATCTCAGTAGTAGCATGGAGTGTGGAATTGTGTCCGGTATATGGCGATAGGCTCACTCCCTATTACATGGGACTTATAACATAAATAGTGAAAAGTGGATATTACATTCTACAGTGGCATAATGCGCACCTTTGCCTACCCCTTCGGGGATAAAAGGCGTGATGTTATGTTATGTGTTATATGTTGTATTAAAGAAATACAAAAAATAATAAGTATTTATGTCAAATCGAGTTTGAAATACAATTATGTAATTCATGCATGTACTCCTATTATGTAATTGCCCAGCTTAGACTGAGTTGGCGAGCCCTTTCGTCGTGGACATGCTGCCACCCTGATTCTTTTATTTTGTTTTATAATGCTTTTTTTGCATTCATTGTTTTTTATACTGCTGTTTTTTTTGTTATTTTATGTTCTTATATTGTTTTCTTTTTGTTTTTCAATGTTTATTTAATGTGTTAATATTCGGTGATCCATGTCTGGTGGCGAATAAATTATTTTTCTTTCTTTCTTTCTAATTCGCAGAACATTCTCGAACGCGACGCAAGTATTCTTCCACGCGGCGCGCAGTCACTGCCCGACGTCGGCGGACGGCGAGGCGCCCTGCATGTGGCTCGACTGCGACCGAGTGCCGCGGAAGACGTTCGCGCTACTCAACCATCTCACTGACAAACATTGCTCCATGCAGGTGCGGGTAGCTTCATTCTAGTTAGTAATTGGGTACTTCGAAAATACATACTTTTTTAAAAAGAGTAACGAATGGAGTTTCTTACTCATTCTTCTCCATTCGAATCTACATTTTGGAATGAGCACCTAGCTTCACCTAGTTTCACTGACGGACTGATTGACAGACTATTATTTATTTTGTATTTGTTGACGTTTCAAAAGTATCAAACTATGGTTTAATTGAAATAAATGCTTTGACTTTGACTTTGATACATTATTCGACTGTTCAATACAATAATGTATTAAAAAATAATCACACTTTCATTAATTGATTTTATGAACAACTTAATTTTAGTATTTTTCCAGCAAATTTTTAAGACATAGTATGCTGTTTGACTCTGTACAAAATTCATAGAATACTGTCGTTTTTGACAGTTCGAAAAAAGGTATTGAATTCGACTAGTTGGCAAGTACCCAAATATTAACAGGCTCACCCCCTATTACATGGGACTCATAGCATAAATGCCTGCTCTGCCCTTCGGGAATAAAAGGCTTGATGTTATGTTATGTATTTCCGAGATTAGTGCGTCCAAACGCGTAGTAATTATTTCGCGTATTTTCGCTTGAGTAACCCGCGATTTTTAATTAATTTAGTATGTCTCACGATAGTTATTATAAAAACATACATACTTCTTGTATTCTTTTCACCTTTTTTCTTTTTTTTAAGTCGTTCAAATATAGAACACTGACTTAATATACTCGTTCTGTGTCCCCAGGCATTGACCGCGGTGTACTACTCCCGCCGGCACGCGGCGGGCGAGGGCGCGGACGGCAAGCCGGTCGCACTCAACTATCCTCCCAACGCCGCACTCGCCGCGCTCAATAAACACGCCGCCGACATGTTCAACCCTAGGGAACTCATGGTAAGCTACTATTACTTATATTATGTTCAAAGCTTTATTATCCACTGCCGTAATTAGAGACTTTTAATGATTATTTAAGTGTGGGAGAGCCATTCGGCACGAATGGGTCGGCTTGACCAGAGTGATACCACTGGCTCACAGAGAACCGACGTGAAGCAACGCTTGCGTTGTGTTTTGTCGTGTGAGTGAGGTTACTGGACGCCCAATTACCCTACCCCCTCCCCAATCCCTGAATCCATAACAATCCTCAAATTCTTCATCCCTAAAACGCCGGTACCGCAATGGTAACACATTCGGTGTTCCAGGTGTCCATGGGCGACACCGATTGCTTACCATCAGATGATATAGTGATAATTTTGTTCCGAAAACAATTGCTAATAACTGGGTTAAGGAATCATTAAATGTCTCTAAGTACGATTGCTTTAAAGAAGATTTTTGCAATACAAATTAATAACTAGCTTATGGCAACGGCTTCACCCCGTGGCGTAAAAAGTAGTCCTATGTGTTATTACAGACCATAAATTAAAACTATTCCATTTTTTTTGTAGTTACTTATTTTAAAAAAAAACGTAATCACGACTTTATTGTCGCTTCGTGTGTGTTCAATACACCATTTAGTGTAAGAGACTTAATTCTACACCAGCGCCGCCTGCGGGGTTATTATGACGTCCTAAATTCAAAATGCTTCTATTGAGGGAAAGAAACAAAGCTATACAAATCGTCTAGCGAGATTTCGTTCCCTGAGCAGATCCATTCTGGCTTTTAAACGTCATAATACGCCACCTGGTGAGCGCAAAAACGACAGGCCTTTGCATTACAGGGTCTTTAGCCAAACGCCACTTTAGCGCTTGTCTACAGAGAGAATAGAAATCAAAATGTATGGGGATGACACTGACAAGTGTCAAAATTTACGTCAATTCCATATAATTTGGTTTTCTATTCTACATGTAAACAAGCGCTAAATGGCATTTGGCTACAGCTGCTGGAGTCATATAATTAGATCATGCTTAAGTGTGTTATTAAATACATAAACATTAAAATCGTTTGTTTAGTAGTTTTTTTGTAATAATGATAATGAATGTGACTCCCACTCTCAATAAAGGATTTTCAATCTTATCCTGCTCTGATAAAGTTGAATATCTCTTATGTTCCGGACTTAGCAACCGATTTCTGTTGTCGTTGTGGAGTTATCGACCCCGGGGTGTCACTATAGTAACATATCATTTGGGCAAAGCTATCTAAATGTAATTTTAATATTTATTAAGTCCAAAAAATTACTTTTATCCGTAAAAATTAGTTGAATAAGTCACCATAGGGTATATAGGGTGTTTGACTGTTACTCTTTATTGTTAGTAAATATTATAATAATACTGCTACATTTCAATAACGTGCTTAATAAAATACAGCGGGTGGAATTCAATGAAGTTTTGGGGAAAACATTATGATAAAATTGCTTGATAAAATACAGTCAAACTGCCTTATTGCCTAGTCACAATTACGCTGTTATTGAGGATATCGTCTTGTGAGTGTTTTTTTAAAGTACTAGCTTTGCATCCACGTCTTTGGTCACGTGCTCAAAGACAGAGAATTACAAAAATGGCTACTTTGGTTCAGTCATAGATTAATTTGATAATGAAAGATCATCAACATGGTTATCTCTGGCCACTACTAAGTAACTTTGAACCGCTTTGTCAAAAAGCTTATCAATTCCTGACTGGTTTGTCAAGTCATTAGCTTCTGCTAGCGGCTTCCCTCAGGGCCCTGCAGGATAAAAAGTTCCAGATTATAATCGACCCCTGTTCCAAATTTCATGCCTGTGTTATCCCACACTATAATCTACCTTTGAACCTTTCGTGTGTTCGGAGTAGTGGAGAACCTAACGTGTTGCCGAGGCTCCGGCTCGAAGTGCAGGAGAAGGAACGGGGTGGTTTTTAGTCGGTAAGAGTCTGACACTCCCTCACCCAGGCGGGAGCAGTCATTCGATGATTTCCCACCTTAATCTGTCAAACACCAAGCGGTCACCGGTGACCGCGACCTATTGTTCTTTAATTGTGTCTATAAAACCGGTACTCGACGAGTTAAAAAAAAAACCTTTCGTGTGTCTAAGACGTGGATCCACGCGAGACACAATGTATTTTCTATTGTGTCTCATATCGGTGCATTGAAAAGGTTACCGTGATTGAGTAACATACACACAGTCTTTCTCATTTTATAATAGACGTAATTAAAAAAAAACTATACTTTACCCTCACAAAACGATACCCTCAGTAGACCATAAGCCACATCACAGTGTGACGTCACTAACGTGTCTGTTTGTGCACGCGCAGCACAGGGCAGAACTCGGTCGCACGCCGGAACAACTGGTGAGACACACGACACATTCTGTGTTCTTCATATAGCTAGCTTTTGTGTGTGTTTTATAGCTCTCTTGTGTTTGTTTTTGTTTGTGCGTGTTGCGTGATAACGGAGAATTTACCTTTTCACCGCTGTGAAGACAAACTAAATAGTACTTAATAATCATGTTTTCTTGTCTGTGACGGATCATGTATTTTGTTTGTCGGTTTTACCCGACCGTGGCGTTCAAAAGGTCAAACTCGGATAATGTGCCACCTTAGGTTTACTATAACCAAACTCAGCAAAGAATGTACGTTGAAAATGACAATGAATACGTATACACAATCTAGAATAAACATATCTCGAAAATTCTCCTGCAATTTCGAATTACTTGACAACAAATGTGAACTTTTACGAAATATGCGTAACTAAGGTGAACTAAATAATATTCGTCGCTACGTCGTGGTGGCCCGGAGGTTTAAGACGCCCACTTCTCATGCATGAGGGTGCGGGTTCGAAACCTACCAACGGCAAGTACCAATGTGACTTTTTCCGAGTTATATGTACTTTCTAAGATTATTTAGACACCACTGACAAACGGTGAAGGAAAACATCGTGAGGAAACCTGGACTTATAATTTCTAATTATAAGTTTGAAATCGCCAACCCGCATTGAGCAAGCGTGGTGATTAATGCTCTAACCTTCTCCGTGTGAGAAGAGGCTTTGCTCAGCAGTGGGCATTTATAGGCTGTTGATGATGATGATGAAATAATATTTGGAACGTCATTTGTACTTTTATTTTGTACAGTACCCGTTTTTCGGTGTATTTTCGTTAAAGATGTTGTTGAGTAAGTTGAAATGGCTTAGTGCCATGTTTGTCGTATTGTTTACGGCTATAGCGTGTCATTATTGTAGGTAACGTGCATTGATTGTTGAGTGTGTTATAGTACACCGTGCGTCGGTCTCAGGTTATTCGAGGTTTCATTTTCGTTATCACGTATCACACTGTTTTTTGTTTGTTCTTGTCTGTGTTCGGTGGTGAGATAGGCTAGATACTGTCTGGATTAACTTCATGGTTATGGTCTGTGTCTATAAAGCTATTTGTACGTAGATTTGCCTGCACTAGACTTTTTCACACATTATAATCATTTAAAAATTCCATACAAATTATATCAATCAATTTGGATCACAGTGCAAAATCAAGTTCAATCAATACATATTCCAAACAGTATCTAGCCATTAGTTGTTTGTTAATGTTAAGCACTATTGGGTACTTGCCAACTAGTCACATTCACTCCTTTTTTTGAGATTCTTAAAAAGCTACTGTTTTCTATGAATTTTGTACGAGATTGTGTATTATGACGTCACCATTCTTTTAGCGTCAAACAGCATACTTATTTCTTTTTCTTTTAGCTGGAAAAATACTAAATATGGTTAATCATGTAATCAATTAAGGAAAGTGTGATTATTTTAAATATTTTATGGTATTGAACAGTCAAAATAAATTTTTATTAAGTAAAGTACCCAATTATTGTAGTCTCAATATTTTTATAATTTTGTTACTACAATTTAATTTTAGTTATTATGTTTATACGTTACAGTGGCCTAGTCTAGTCCAAATCCAAATGCATGTTTTCTCAATTTATTTATAAGTAATTCCATAACATTTGTTTTACACAATTTTTTGCGATTTCCAATCTATGCGTAAGAAAGTAGGAGAGTGGACTAACATTTCAGTAGAATTTTTAATTTAAAAGAAATCGACACGCATTTTTTTATTTCTTCTAGAATAAAACTTAGTAGTACACACATCAATCTATACAAAACCAGTTTATCCTGGTGTCGCGTCACATCATCTTTCCGCACATTTAACGTTCAGTTTATACTGGTTATGTAAAGCTCGATGTGTAGCCGAGTGAACATTGATTTAAAATATCACATGATGTCCATCTATCCACTCGCCTATTTTGCATGCTATGTGTTATAAGTAGATTTTCAACTATAGATTTTATAACTATAGGTTTGTGTTTATAATTATTCTTTAGTTGTTTAAGAGGTTTTTTTAGAATAATAGCAATATTATTCTCTTTGGGGATTTAAACGCCATAATTTTATGTTGGTTCTTAATTATATTATTTTAATTGGCAGGATGAGAACGAGGGTCCAGTAACGAAGAGTATACGTCTGACTGCAGCGCTCATATTGAGGAATATTGTCATTTATTCGAATACTGGACGGAGGTAAGCTAAATATATTATACTAGCTGACCGAGCAAACTTCGTCCCGCTATATTTCTTACCTTTTTAAACCTTCCTTGGAATTCCAAACATTTCAATACCAAAATTAGCCAAATCGGTTAAGCAGTTCTCGAGTTTTAGCGAGACTAACGAACGGTAATTAAATTTTATTATATTTTATTGGTTTAATATAAACTTACGATAAAAAGCAGCGCATTAATATTTTCTGCTTTAAGATGTCTGGGTATAAAATAAAGACAAAATGTGTGTTACTATTGAAAATTTCGAAATTAAAAAGTAATCACATATAATAAAAGATACCTCTCGGATTTGTTCATATGAATGCGATAAACTCATAAACTGCTAGACGGATTTTTATAGTTTTCTTCATTACTAGGTTAGTGTGGTCCTATATACACACATCTCACCCAGATTGACGCCCGAATACTAGAAGACTACTCAATTTTATGTTGTACTTAAATATCGTGCCATCTCTGTCATTTTACAAAGAATTTGTAGTGACAGAACTATGCTTAGGCGCGACTTTAAACTGTCAAACACCAAGCGGTCACCGGTGACCGCGACCTATTGTTCTTTAATTGTGTCTATAAAACCGGTACTCGACGAGTTAAATTGCGTGACGTTTGAGTATTTCAGCTTAAGAACATCAATTTGAGAAATACAGTTGTTCCGTAAGAAAATTGAACCCAAGCCCACCGTGCCGAGAAACTAACTACTATAGTTCATAATAATATGTATTCTTATTCTTCCTTTTTCTGTTACAGACAACTGCGTTCATACGAAGCTCATCTAGCGACAATCGCGCTCAGCAGCGTGGAAGCTTCTCGAACGATTGCCCAAGTTCTATACGACATGAACAATATTTGAGAATCACTTACCGGGCATCGGGCCCACGACTAACTGCGTGCTGGCTGTAAATAGCAATGTAGAAATATGTAGAGGAAAAATGAATCATAAAAATAATTAGAACTTTGTCCGATTAGATTATTATTGTTCGCATTTTAGCGAATATTTTGCTGTAATATTGACTTTTAATCAAGGCGCGACATTAAAGTTAAGGGATTGGATAAATATAGCTTGTATTCTATCCAACGATAAACTGGATGACATCTTTTTAGTGCCTTTTCACACATTCAGGTTGCTGGGTATCCAGTGGCAAATGTATGGAGGTTAGTTAGAACATGCAGGTACGTGTGATAGATACCATACATGGTCGGGTATCAGGCACCCGCCACAAGGCAACTGAAACGTGTGAACTGTATACAACTAACGTCGGACGGCTAGACGATTCATACTAATATATTGATCCTCCGACGGATTGATTACTTTATGACATTTTTAACTAGGTATTTAGTAATCATTCAAACACATTTGAATTACAAGACATGATCTGAATAGAAATACATACAATTTTCATTTAAAATTATACAATTAAGTAGTGACGTTCTAAATAATAATTTACATGCTAACAACTGACAACTAAAATTAATTTTATAATTAAAGTTTATTCTTTATTGTTACTTAACTACGTAATTCTTGAAGTACTGTGGTTTTGACATATATACAAACAAAGGCATGTTATCGGGCTATTGTGGCGATAAAATTGAGTTCTTATCGTGTAGGAGCAAAAACAACGCAAGGTTTCTGCCTTTTATTAACAAGTTCCTTTAAATATGTACCCATTGCTACGTTCAGTTGTATTTTAGTATCAAAAAATAGTAATTATAACATTGTTTTGTTCTCAAAACTGATGGGCGCAGGTGCATTCATTATACACGAGAAAAAACATAATTCTGTGGCAATTAGTACATTAAATATATACAGTTATGATTTAAGAATTTGTTATTATATTTTTAGATAAGTGATTGTTTCAAACAAAGAAATTATGTGTTTATATAACTTAGCAATTTTGTAACTTCTTATTCACATTTTTCTAGATATTTTACAAACTCAATTTTCATTCTGGCTATAAGTAATATTTCAATGGATTCTTAGAAACCATTGCTACTTTTTTTGTAAAAATATCTCATCTGTACCATACCATTTAGATTTTAATTAGGTTTAAAGTGATATAAGTATTATTTTTGCAAGTTGGCGTGATTGGTTGAGCGTAATTTAACATGGGAGACTGTACAATGTCACTGAATCGATGTAAGTGCAACGGAAAATAAAATAATTTTAGTATGGCTTTGTGTTTTATTTTAATCGAGTACCTAGATGAACTGGCGACATGGAACGATAGTTTATTGATTTCTAAAATGATTTAAATGCCTCAGTCCCTACCTATGCAGGTATTAGTAAATCAGGGTAATAATAAGTCGGTTAGGTTTTATCAACATCATTATTTATTATCAGTAGGTAAATAGAATGTGAAGACAATGAATTTAATGGCTGTACCTAGTTGCAAGAATGTTAACTTATGACGTATATTTATTTGTACCAATAGATTAATTGAAATCAGGGCAAACAAAGGTACTTGCAATAATCTATAAAAGCTTTTCTAGGGGAGCAAGGGGTCTCGGGTTCGATTCCCGGGTCGGGCAAAGTATTACTGGGTTTTTAAAAAATTCTCAGTAGTAGCACAGAGTCTGGAACTGTGCCCGGTATATGGCAATAGGCTCACCCCCTATTACATGGGACTCATAACATAAATAGTGAAAAGTGGGTGTTACATTGTATAATGTGCACCTCTGCCTACCCCTTTGAGGATAAAAGGCGTGATGTTATGTTGTTGTTGTCTTTTCTAGGGTTGAGGGCAGACGAACATACATACAATCATTTATGGTAGGTAAGATCAGTGTCGCCTATGGACGCCTCCTAAACCAGTCCAGAGAAGTTATCAAGTCTTGCCACCCCGGACAATGACAAAGTGAAAGACAAAAAATTCTAGAAATAAATTGACGAGATCTACCTACACTGTTTTATTTGAAGGAATTATTTTTCTTACCCACTCACCTTTGACGAGATCAAGTTGTGTCTGACGCATCATTCAGACGGTGCCCATTTCCACACCACCCTAGAGGTAGAGCACAAGGTGCGTTTTTTTTTAAAGTGGTATCCCCAGTAGGCCTAGTCCACTAGCAGCGTCATGGAGGAATCGAACCGCCATTTTGTTTCATTGTTGCCACTTGACAGTTTACCTTTTACCTGATATTTTGTCCTTGACAACTTACTGTGATGGCATAAACCTATTACCCTACGTTAACCTTATTCTAATGAAATAGCACGGAACAAAGTTCCGCTAATGCATTGTAAAAGTCCAGACTTTACGACAAAATGCTCTGTGTAAGCAAATAAAGTTAAATATGGAATAAATCAAACTAAGTGCACGTATGTACACCCATGACTGTTTAGAAGGAAATCGACAAAAGCTGGACGATTGAAATGCATTAAAAAAACGGGTGAACAAAGTTAAACTGAAACATGTCAGTTACGCTTCGTTCTATTGGGACCATATTTTATACCTTTACTGCATAATGCAGCTGTCTACCCAGGTTTCATTGTCATCAGGGGTTTGGGCGCTATGAATTCATCCGAACGGGAAACCCATCTTGCGTCTTGCATCCATCATGGTTATTTTCCAGAACCTTCCAATAATGCGCCTAAGCTGCACCGACGTAACCTAGAAACAAATCACGATAAGACTAAAATATTCTTTACACGGAGATTTGAAGATTAGGAAATTGTTTATAAACGCTTACGTTGATTTCTTGGCCTTCTTTGATGCAATCGCTCAAATAATCTTCTTCGTGCCAACATGTACCAGATGGCAGCCATATTGTTGAACAACAATTTTCCACAGAGCTGTCGTCAAAATCAACTTCACGCAACGAAGCTCACGCAGGAAATGACAAATGTCAAACAAAATCAACTGACAAAAAAATGCAAAAAAATTATTTAAAACGCGAATGAATGATTATTTTACAGATTGTCTTTGGTTTTAATATTGCTATGTTGCCAGAGCGAAACCAAGAAAGCAGATTTTTGAGTAAATCTACAAAATTAAAACTGACTTTTTTATTACATACCTACCAATGTTTTAATCTAGCTAAACTTCATTACAAAATAATAAAATTAAAAAAAATTGTCACAGAAGTTTCACATTGTTGCAGGTGCTGGACCGGAGTCCCGACATTAATAACAACAAAAGATAGATAAATTGTGCAATTTTCTACTACATATTTAATTTCATGTATTTGTTATAAAGTAATGGAAGTTGAATATCTATTATTATAATTTGTAATTTAACCTTCTATCATAATTGGATAGTTGCTAACTAGTCAAATTCAAAACTTTTATTTTTAAACATTAACTGTTAAAAACGATATTTTTCTGAGAATTTTGTAAATACGTGATTGTGTATTGTGATGTCACGTTTTTATAGCGTCAAACAGCATTACATACTACCACGCTTATTAAGTTGATAACAAAATCAATTAATGAAAGGGTGATCATTTTTTAATATTTTATTGTGTTGATCAGTTGAAATAATTTATTTTTGACTAAGGAAAGTACCCAATTTTAGTTAATTATTTTTGACCTTACTTTATACATTACCTGCCTTTTTCCACACCACCCATGAGGTAAAGCAGAAGGTGCGTTTTTTTTATAGTGGTATCCCCAGAAGGCCTAATCCACTTTAAAACATAACCGAATTTTATTGTTGTTGTGAATGTTTCTTTGTCTGACTCAGTGACGGTTATGAGTACTTGGCATAGATTTTAATAAGTTTTAGATAGTTACGAAAAAGCAAACACTTTGTGTTCTATACCGATCTAATAATTGAATGCATTTTACGGTAAAAAAAAATTAATGAAAAAGCATTCAACATGATATTTAATATCAAACCATAATTATTTATGTGTGAATTATTTAAAACTCCCGAAAGTATGTCACAAATATAAATAATTTAAATCTTCGTTCAGAAATTAATTCTACTTTTACCATTATAAATGCAAAAGTGGGTAAGAATGTATGTATTTATGTATCTGTCTGTCTGTTACTCCTACACAAAAAAGTACTGAATGAATCTAGATGACTTTGGTACAGAATAAGATTGTAGTCTGCGATAATACATTAGGGGATCATTTGTCTCCTACGAAAGCTATCCTAGCCGCTAGCAGAAGCTAGTTTAAATAAAAACATAAAAAAGTGGTGACTGAAGATTGACAACTGACAGTTTAGAAATCTATAAAAAGCAATTACCCTCTTTGCTTACAAGAGTACATCCTTCCTGTCAGAAAAGATATTAACCCTTGAATTGAATCTATTTTGCCTAAAAACTACAATAATTTTATTTAAAAATGTAATTTCTTAATAAAATGGGTAAAGCTCAGTCACAACAACTTGTTTGTCGAACCTAGTGTCGAATTACAAATCAAATTCGACCTAAGATCCGTTATACCTACATGTGTAAAAATTAATAAACGAACAGACAAGTTATTGTGTAATATTGGTCGTGCATAAATCTACCAAATTACAGAATACTCTAATGAAGATAAAACCAGCAATTTATAAAATCTAAAAATTATAATTTGCTGATTGAGAGGAAAGTAAAAAAGTTTAATAATGTTGTAAAAAATAAAATTATAAAAATTATTAATGTTGGTAACCCCCAAGTAGTAGAACAGCCATGCCTAATCCTCTATCTAACTTTCTGCCTATCCCTAACTTTCTGCCTACCCCTGGGGGACAAAAAGGGTATAAAAAAATAAACTGTTTCAATTTCCCACACTTAATTATAATTTCATCATCTATCTTATAACCTACTTAAATATAATAACATGCCGAATAGAACGAAAAATAAAACAGTTTAATATAATATTCAAATAATATAGAAACTATATCACTGAATGTTTATATTTGAGGTGTTTAATGTTACATAATATTAAACCGTGTTAATTTCCGAGGGTAACTTAATTATAAATCTAACTTATAATATACTAACTCTTATAATTATAAAAAAAAACATGCGTAATTGTGGCGAATAATAAGACAGTTTAATACAACATTCAAATAATAAAGAAGCTATATTATTGAATGTTAGTACTTTAGGTATTAAATTTTATAAAATATTAAACTGTATTAATATCCCCATTGAACTTAATTATAAATCTACCTTATAACCTACATATACTTACAACTATAATTATAAAAACCATGCGCAATTGAACGAAACATTAAACAGTTTAATATAACATTCTAATGATATAGAAACTATATCACTGAATGTTTATATTTGAGGTGTTTAATGTTACAAAATATTAAACTGTATTAATTTCCACTGGTAACTTAATTATAACTTAATCTAGCTTATAAAATTGTTATTCTTTTAAAAGTAGTAACATGCACAATTTGAACGAAAAATAAAACAGTTTAATATAACATTCTAATGATATAGAAACTATATCACTGAATGTTTATATTTGAGGTGTTTAATGTTACAAAATATTAAACTGTATTAATTTCCACTGGTAACTTAATTATAACTTAATCTAGCTTATAAAATTGTTATTCTTTTAAAAGTAGTAACATGCACAATTTGAACGAAAAATAAAACAGTCTAATTTAACATTCAAATAATATAGAAACTATATCACTGAATGTTTATATTTGAGGTGTTTAATGTCACAAAATATTAAACTGTATTAATTTCCACGGGTAACTTAATTACAACTTAATCTAGCTTATACAATATTTATTCTTTTAAATGTAGTAACATGCACAATTTGAACGAAAAATAAAACAGTTTAATATAACATTCAAATAATATAGAAACTATATCACTGAATGTTTATATTTGAGGTGTTTAATGTAACAAAATATTAAACTGTTTTAATTTCCACGGGTAACTTAATAATAAATCTAACTTATATTATACTTATTCTTATAATTATAAAAAACATGCGTAATTATGGCGAATAATAAGACAGTTTAATACAACATTCAAATAATTAAGAAACTATATTATTGAATGTTAGTACTTTAGGTATTAAATTTTATAAAATATTAAACTGTATTAATATCCCCATTGAACTTAATTATAAATCTACCTTATACCCTACATTTATACTTAAAACTATACCTCTAATTATAAAAACCATGCGCAATTGAACAAAAAATAAAACAGTTTAATATAACATTCAAATGATATAGAAACTGTATCACTGAATGTTTATATTTGAGGTGTTTAATGTTACAAAATATTAAACT